GAGAAATAGAGAAAGATATGAGAGGAATGAACAGAAAGTGGACAGAACTGGAAAGGGAAGCCGAAGACGGAGTTGGCTTGAGAAAACTGGTGGGCGGCCTATGCTCCATTGGGGGTAACAGGCGTACGTAATTAAGTATTAGGCACATTTATTGGAGTAGAGATCGGTTAGTATATGTCGATCTATGTATGAACTTGTAGAGGATTATTTTTCGTTTAAACAAATTCAATGATAACTGGCACATTACTTATCAAACACACATGATAAGGCTTTGGCAGTTGTTGAGTTTCATGAAAACCTATCCTGAACTGATTGAAATTAGATGTTAGCATCGATGAATGCCGGCTTAGTGGTCGTCTAGTGGTCAGGTGTTTGTACGCGATATTGAAGACTCCAGGTTGGATTTCTCCTTGTGGGGTTGTGAATACGCACTGCCGGTGAGTCCCATATTAGGATGAAATGACTGTCCAGTGTTTCTATGCTTCTAACGAGGGTCTTACATTTATCGATTTATGACAGCCAAGAACATACGTACATTAGTTATGACCTTGTAAAATTATACAGCAATTTGATTGTTTCTGAATATTTCTTTAGTCAAAATTAAGTTCATTTGAGAAATATTTTTATTTTGTAATTGGTCTATTGAGAAAAATTTCAAAACCCAATTTTTTGTGTATGATATATTTGTTAAAATTTCAGAGTCAATAATAGACTCGAATTCATTGTGTATCATCATTTGAAATACAGTGAGAATGTTTACGTTAATCGTTTAAGCTTATTTTTGTAAGATGAATGATTTTAATGTTTCTGTTAGATATCAACTAAACAACCAAAATTATAGTTTTACTGAAATCATGAACTCGTCATTATCAGACTACAGTTGAAAACCTGAAACCATTGGATTGCCTGTTGATTCTACAGTGAAACTGTTCAACAGTGTACATCCCGGACCCTGCACGCAGGAATCTAATCTAGGTCTTTCTGTTTCACGTGCGAATGCTTAACTTTTAGACCACTGAGCCGGCATCCAGAGGTGTTGATGTCTAACTTTCATGAGTCTACGATATTGCTTGACCGTCATCCATTGTCTTCGGTGAGTAACAAGCCACATTACACCCAACGTAGTTCAACTCTACTGATGGAAAGTTTTATAATAGAATGAAATGGCCATCCAATGGTTCCGGGTTTTCAATGGTAGTCTAACACTGATCGATCCACAATTTCAATGAAACTCAACAATCCCCGTAACCTTATATTGATAAAATCATACTGTTAACAAATAACAAATCTTCTCTATGAATAAATCGATAATAATAAATGTGTCAGAAAATTGTAAATTCGTTTTATAATGTAATATCAATTGTAGTACATTTGAATTTGTTGTTTGAATCGTTTTATTGGTGTATACAACCCCAATTAATCAGTATGTCTTGGTATATATGCAACCTGTCTGGATCATCTTGATACTACCACTAAGACAAACCAGACTCCGTTGGAGGAGGAAATCAGGAAGAAGCACTGGAAGTGGATAGGACACACACTGCGGACAGTACCGAACTGCCTCACAAGACAAGTCATCAAGGTCAAAGGAAAAGAGGAAGGCTGAGGAAAATATTACACCGAGAAAATAAGACAGACATGAGAATAAAAATTGGACAGAAATGAAAAGGTAGGACTAGGTCAGAGTAGGTCGAAGAATACTGGTAGGCTGCTTATGCCCCATTTTCGGGGTAATGTTGGAGATGGTAGATCCCCAAAACTCGCTTGTTAAATGCCCTATTTTGGATTTCACGTTTGCGAGCATGGGCTGATCAGTTGACCTTGAGATTTCTTTTCCCACTAGGAAAATCCATGGCTATGATTGGCTGCTGTGTATTTTAGTGTGCTATTTTCTTAACTGTCCCAAGGACGTTTCTATGATGTATAAATAAACGAGAGTTGTATGCTTGATTGTACTGTGTGATTGCTGGGTGTTTGTAGAATATACTTTCTACGCTTACAAAGCCTTTTTTCTTCAGCTTGAGATTCAAGGTAGCCTCCCTGGACGCTGGTAATTGTCTCGTTCGCGTTTATCGACTAAGGTGAACTCGTAATAGCTTCAAGCGTACCTAGTGACGAACGCTGCAGGTAACAGGTGTAAGTAAGTTAAGTTACAAAGCTAATTTAAAAGAAACAAACTTCAACCTATCGATCAAAGTCATTAATGATCTTGACTCAGTAACTGAATGGAAAACACGATGGCATTTAAAACGAACAGTACTAAGTGAACATCAACTCCACAATGTGGGTACAAACAAATTAACTATCCCAAGTAGGACAAAACTCGAGTGTTGGATTCCACAGCTAACCATCATCTATCCCTATTTGTAATCTATCATAATAGCTGTATGAAATAAGTATACATGTTTTGTGTCATTTTAAATGTAAATCATTTAAAAGTTAACCGATAAAAATGATTTATCAAAATGATTTAGCCATTGAATTTGTACGTTAATTAATATGAAACTTCTAAAAGGCACTTATGTCATCCAGGTGATATACAGTAAAAGTGTCAAGAATATTTGAACGTTTTTGGACATTTATTAGTTAAACTATGTTCAACAGCACAAATGCATTCTAAACTCTATCTTTTTTGATTTCCCATATGTTAGGTTCGTCACTAGGTACACTTGAAGCTAATACGAGTTCACCTTAGTCGATAAACGCGAACGAGACAATGAATAAGCGTCCAGGTAGGCTACGTTGATCCAAAACGGCTAGAGAGAAGTCTTGATAAGCGTTGAAAGTATATTCTACAAATACCCAGCAATCACACAATGAATTCAAGCACACGAATCGCGTTTATTTATACATCGTAGAAACGTCCTTGGGACAGCTAAGAAAATAGCACACTAAAATGCACAGCAGAATATCACAGTCAAGGATGTTCCTAGTGGGAAATGAAATCTGAAGGTCGACTGATCAGCCCATGCTGGCAAACGTGAAATCCAAAATAAGGAATTTATCAAGCGAGTTCTGAGGATCTAACATCCCCAACACCATATAACTGAACAGCATTATATGTCACAGATAACTAACTGTCTAATAACTGTGTTTAATTCATTAAAAATTACACAGTATAGAAATAATTCAGATTTTTAGTTATGTATGAGGATGTTTTTTGAGTTAGAGTTATGGAGATTAATTTTTTTTACACATTGAAATATTAATGTCTAACTTTGATCAATCTAAGGATTGTTGCGCAACCTCACCCACTCTCGCCAGTTGATACTGCCTACGCCTGACTGGGTTAAACTCCACTGGTCACTTCTTGTCACTAAAATTCCAAGAATTTCTTTACAAATCTAGTCACTAGTGAGCACACTGACCATAAATGAATGTTCAAACTTAGAAATAACAGGTAGTCAATATGAAGTCATTCATTTTAAATTTCAATGAGATTTACAGATTTAAGTAATGATCATACTTGAATGTTAACTGATTCTTATGATCAGTTTTCATAAATTCAACATTGTTTGAAGAATTCGATAATCAAAATGGTATCCCAATTAAATAAAAAAAAACACATCGATCTGATGTTATTTAGAATACAGAAATCGTTGTACTTAATTTACTGTCAGTTATTTGTACTAATTTACGAACAAATTTTACACACTGAAATCGTGAATCGATCAATGTTAGATCATCGTTAGAAACCCGGAAGCTCTGGACAGCCGATTCGTTCTGGTATGGGACTCATCAGTAGTGAACATCCACGAATCCTGCACCCCACAGGATTCGAACCCAGGAAGCCTAAACTCTGGACCGCTGAACCGGTATCTAACGGTGTCGATGCCTAACTTCGATCAATCTAACGTCTTGCGCAACCTCATACACTGTGTTCGGTAATTACTGTCTACACCCGAACAGGTTAAACTTCACTGGTCACGACTTCCCACTAGAATTCGGAGAAGATTCCTCAAGGATCTAGTCACTAGTGAGCATACGTAGTTGCATTACGGGATCGAATCCTGCGCGGTGCAGGAGTCGTGGATGCGCACTACTGATAAGTCCTATACCAGGACGAAACGGCCGTCCAGTGCTTCCAGGTTTCGAATGGTGGTCTAAAATTGGTCGATTCATGGTTTCAGAAATGTGTAATGCTTATTAGCTTCAGGATAGCTTGAATGATTATTTATGATATCAGACATTCAAGAGCTAATTTTCATGCCTAGATATGATTGTTTCACAGTTTACATAGAGAACAATGCACAACTGATTGGTTCCCCATCATAATTTCATGTTATTATGTAATACTTAATCTACCGCTCGTGTATAATGTTTCAAAAGTTGATTGATCATTGAATACTGATTGATTTCATATTTTCCAAGTTCTTCATAGTGCTGTTCGAATTCTGTCAATCAAGTTAAAATGTGGTCATTAGTTTAAGTGACTCAACTTTGAATGATCAATTTTGAGATATTAGATGGTTAAAGGTAGTTGACAAGAAACTCTGAACCTAGATTCCATGCTAATTGGCACTTCAATGTTGCTTCTTATTGATCATCCTGACTGTCAACATCACAGACTTCATTGTTGTTTCCCATTCGACCTAAATGTATAAATACGCATTATCTGTAACGTTTTATGACCCGGATCCCTAGTGCGGGATCCTGATTCTCTTCTGGACTCGGACCTTGTACCTTCTGTATGCTTGCAGAATACATGTTCTACTTCAAATCAAGTCCTCTTCTTTTACTCGATAGGGGTTGGGACACTCGGATTAGAGTAGCACGTCGTGTCGCAGGATCCTCGATTGTCGTTCTCGTTTTCCGACCAGATAAGCTCGTAGTAGTGCAAGCACATCAAAATGACGTGTTTACGTACAGGTATAACATCACCAAACATCATGCCTATCATCAATCACTTGAAAATTGTCACAGAATACAACAGTAAATTATTCAATATTAAAACATTTTTCTTTATTTCTTCTAATGAATGATTTAAACAAATGTTTGTTAGAAAATGTAATTCACTAAGAAAGATAACAATAATAATAATAATTAGATGACAACATTCATCATGAGGAATTATTTCTTCTTCGCTGGTGTAGTCGTTACTTCTTCACTGCCTGTAGAGTCATCATCCTCGTCAGTGTCTCGTTCACATGCCCTTGAAAGGTAAAAACAAAACGATGTTTAACTTTAAAAATTGTATCAAACCATATTTAAACAATAAATTAATTAGACTGAACTTTGTTTAAAAGTTTATCTAATATTATACTGAGTGAATAACTCCGCTTGAGGCTACTGCCGGTCTTAAGTGCGGATAAAGTAGAAATCCAACTCGCTAATATAAACGCTAACTAGGAAAAATAATCCGCTGGTCCTTAGCCTATGCTTCAATGTGTGTAACATGTAAGTAAGTAAGTGAGTAAGTAAGTAAGTGCATAAGTAAGTAAGTAAGTAGGTGAGTGAGTGAGTGAGTGAATGAGTGAGTGAATGAGTGAGTGAGTGAGTGAGTGAATGAGTAATTCCGTGAGTGAGTGAGTGAATGAGTGAGTGAATGAGTGAGTGTGTGAGTGAATGAGTGAGTGAGTGAGTGAGTGAATGAGTGAGTGAGTGAGTGAGTGAGTGAGTGAGTGAGTGAGTGAGTGAGTGAGTAAGTAAGTAGGTAAGTAAGTAATATTGACCGATTCATTATACAAATCAAACCTTTCAAGGTGTGTTGTATTCTTTGATAATATTTTTCAGAAACTGAAAGAAATCTACATGATTAAACTGTCTTAGCTCAGTGAATAAAAAACATCTTTAAAATGCTGACATTCAATAATGATACATTTGCATAACTTACACTGTCATTATCCGAATTCCTTTTTTGTCGTTTTTCTCTGTTTCATTTGCTCTGGAAAAATCGATTTTAGTTTCGCAAACTTCATCGATCACTTTCAATGTTAAGTTATCGTTTAAAGTATAATTATGTCCATTGATATTTAACTCCATGAGACCTGTGTGTATTGGAAAAGACGGGGGAAAGAAAAATATGTGGTAATTTTGGGTTTATTATTGTCCGGTACCAAATTTATTTGTGATATTCTACCTGAGTGACTGTTTATCACAAAAATCTTAACCTTAATACCGTTATGTTGAAATTAACACAATCATGTTCGGTTTTTTATAAATATTAATTGTAAACGTTTATGCTACTTAAAAATTAAATAAGTAGTGTAAATTATTTTGACTCATTTAAACAGGTTCTTTAGGAATCAACAAAATAAATATTATTCACCAAAGGATTGTGAAGATTGGTGAATTTTACTGAGATCATGCAATGAAACAATATTGATCACTGATAAGAAAAAGATTGTCAGTTAAAGCAGATATTTATATTTCAAATAGCTTGAACTTTGACGATCCAGTTGATCAAAGGTTATGATTGAAATCATAAATCGAGCATTGTTTGACCGCTATTTGGAAACCTGAAATTACTGTGAAGGCAGCCGTTTCGTCCTAGTATGGAACTTATCAGCAGTGTGCTTTCACAACCCCTACTAATCACAAAGTATTAACCAAGGATCTTCCATCTCCATAACTCTTTAGCAAAAAATCATAGTTTACTTAAGGGTTAGAATGAATAACATATTTTCACTGAAATATACTTTTTCAAACTTCACTTAAAATGTGATCTGCACAAAAATTGTCTTCCTAATATGTTTGCCAAAGAACAATCCAATCAATAGTGGTATAAACATTTCGTCAAATTCAAAATGATTTGTATACATATACATACATATATACATACCCTAATACTCACCTTCTTTATTAATGATAAATGGCGCATCGAAACTGTTATTCTTGTTAGCAATTGTTAAACTTAAAAAAGTTAAGCACAACAATGACAAACGAAACATTTTTTTTTTTAAATTTTCCTAAATCTAAAATGTAGAAAAATATGAACAGTTTAAATGAGTTTTCGTTGAATATATATTTTTCTTAACTTACATTATTCTATAGAGAAATTATTCGCCTGAGAATAAATGGGTTCAGTATTTATAACTCTTTAGTCATTAGATTTCAACCAATCAAATGTATCTCTCACCTTATCGTATTGATTTTTTACCTGGGAAAAAAGAGAAGAGAATGTTGATTATATGTTAATCAGCACAAATTGATTTGATTTGTTATTTCACATAAGAATTCAATGACAATGATTTAAGAATAGGGTAATCAATAATGCCCTCTCAAGAAATCCTTCTGCCGTTATTGTCAGTGAGAAGCTTAGAGGATGGTCGGATATGAGTTGAAAAAAAATCCTATCCCCGTGGAAAATAACTGTCAAGTCTGTTTTTATAATGGATATCATTACCATTGTACCATTGTACAAGTTGAAGGTCATGATATGAATTTTTAAGTGAACTTGAAGTGTGTATGTAAATTTACTGCGTGTACTTAAGCTTCGTGATTAGCTCGTCTAGGCAATCGTTAATAAATGACGTCTGACGGTTTTTATAAATCAGAAGGTGAACTCGTAGTGATGAATACATTTATTTGGGACACACCACACAAAGCGAAGCGAAGGAGCGGTGAATGAAACGAATGAAGTGACGTGAATTGGAGAAGGCTGTTGAGCCAAATCCAAGAAATAGAGCATGACTAAGAATATCTAGTCAGACAAAAATAAGACATCTATGTGATCAACCAGATAGGCATGCACATACAAATAGCTGACAAGGTCAAATGACGAGTGAGACATGTCACATGAGCTCACACAACCAGACAATAATAAGGACGAATGGGTACATATAAATTGCTGCTATACGCAAATGGCTTGGTTAAATAAATTAATCGAAAGGGCTTACTTAACCAAATTAAATGTAAGCGAACTGGAATATATGTGGAGGCACAACAAACTAGATGAGAGAACTATCTCACTTCAGTTAGTTCGCTAATGTTTGGTCCTAAATTCTTAAAACCAGACAGCATACACTTATCTTCAGACGTATTTAATAGTCCATTTAAAAACAGAAATCATTGACTAGATTGTTAGATATAAATTTAATATCTGCCTCACTTTTTATTAAATTTTTATCTCCTCACTCTCTCACACAACCATAATCAAAGGGAATCTGATAGCAATCGATGGCCGTTTCGTTCTGTTATCCACGATATCACAGGATCCACAAACAACAGATGTTGGACAAATATGATGAGAATTTCACGATAAAAGTCGGAAAAAAGGCTGAGTTATTAATAAGTGGGCATGAGTCAAGTTTCTCTAATGCTTACTTTCGTCTTAGTGTGTGTTTTACAATATTGAACATAGGTGAAAAATATAAGGTATGCGAATGTAACCGGAACTACCGTCTACAATAAGATGTCCTTTGTGTGCTACTGTTTTTAACCTAACTTTATATACTACTTATAGACTTTCAGTATTCTGCATCAAATATATTCGTGGTATATTATTAATACTTATTTAATTACCTCTGTTACCCCTAATGGTGCATTAGCCCTCGACTAGCGAGTTATTTTTCTGGTTAGCGTTGTGTTTTTTTTGTAGCAAGTTGGATTTCTACAGGATGGAGTCGCTGACGCCATGCCCAACCCCCCTTCTTTATCCGGGCTTGGGATCGACAGTGTAATCCAAAGAGGGCTCCAGGCTGATATATGGTATATTAATTTATAACCACTTAGCTTAGCAATAGTACAAACCTCCGCCGATACATGTTATTACTAATTACAGTAAATGTTCACTATTTGATGAAAGTTCTTTAAGTACTATCATGTTCTCTTAACGTGATGAATATAGATCATACGAACACTTACTTATTCCCAAATATCCACAAACAAATACCTGTGAATACTAACCGTTTATCTTCCTAACAAACTGTGATCAACACAAAAATGGCGATTATAGGAAATAGTTTATTGATATATCAGTACTATTTTGTCAAATAATAGTTAAGCAACAAATGTCTATTCATTTATATCAGTTCATCAGTAGCAAAAATGTTGCGCCGTACAAACAATCCAAGTTTGTACTATGTTTTGAATTCAATAACTAAGTAAAGTGGAAAGTAGTGTTTTACTTGTTGTAAACAATGCTATTCATCCTTCAATCACTTTAAGATTTAAGCTGCTTGTAGATATTTAGCAGATGCTTAGTGCTTCCAGATTTCTGATGGTGGTCTAACACTGCTGATCAATTCATGATTGGAAAGCGTAATAAATTCAACAATCTGTACAACTTCATTATGTATTTAGTATTTGATTTTAAAGGAATTGTGAGAAACCAAGTATATATCAGTTTAAGTGCAACTATACAATTTAGAAGAAATCCAGTTACAACGTTTATACGAATATCATTCACTCATGCCTCACATACAACAAGAAGTTATTAGAAATCATGTATCTATGTACCCTAGGCTTAAAGATTACCAGGGTAAATTCAAGGTTATGACAAATTGTTTTTGCATACATAAGGGGTTTTTTTATTTTCGAATAGCCAAGGCCTCCATAAACCTCAAAATTCGTACTTCAACATTTCTACACAATTTTCAATTAGAGTTATGGAGATTAGTGTTTTTATACATTTTTGAAATCATCAATCAATCATTTTTAGACTACCATTAGAAACCTGGAAGCACTGAAAGACGGCCGTTTCGTCCTGGTATGGGACTCATCATCGTGGATGCGCACTGCTGATGAGTTGTCGCACAACCTTAGTGGGCACCCTTACCCAAGGAGACGGAAATCCATGAGGTAGTGTGAGTTGTGACATTTTTAGGGTCAACCTATTCTAACCCTTCCTTGTGAGAAGGCAGCATCGCTGCAGATGCTGGTTGTTCGAGGGAAACACCTTACTTCTGTCACACTCCTCTGCAGTCAGCAGTACGACTTCACCCTCAGACCTTGGGTAGCAGCTTTTAGTTTCATCGTTCTCCAACCGACCTGCCTAGCATGATAGAACCTTCAGGAACATAAGTTCCAGCCAATATAGCTCGGCTGGGTCATCACGATAGGCAAACTCGACCACCACGTCAAGGTAGCAGCTACGGTCGGGAAGTCCCATAGTAGTAGAGGTAGTAAAAGTATTAGAAGTAATCGGAGAGATTTGGTTTCGAACATGTTATTCAAAAAATATAATTCAGTGAGGTAAATTTAGAAAGAGAAAGATAAAGGTGATGAGGAATTCACAATGTTAAAATTTCATAGAACACAAAGAGTAAATGCACCTGAGCCATTGCAAACGATTCTGAGCCATGTCATTCAAGGTCTTTAACCATCGATTATTATTATCTCGCAGACCCCAACCAGGTAGTCGACACCTACCGAAACTTACCGAAACTTAGATGAAAATACAAAAGTGTTTTATTATTCATGAAATAGTCAAAACTTAGAAGAGTTTTAGTCAAGTTGCGTAGAATGTAGGATTGAAGATTAAAATGTTAGTAAATGAAATTTCAGAAAAGTTCAAAAGAAGAGTAGGAAAGAGGTTTTGAAACATGTCATTGGTATCTATGTAGAAAGAAGACCAGGGTAAATTAAGAGACTCGCTTTTTTATCGATGTGTATTCCTATAGCTCCTGCTATATGTAAAACTCAGATTCTGGAATTGCAGAATAAATTCAAAGGGATGTTATAAACAACTTTAAAATTCAAACGTTTTATCTATACGGTAAACCAATTTCGACCAGATGCAACAAGAGGGAGCTTATTATTAATATCTTTTATCGTATGGCTAACCATGAGGGATGATGTTCCGGTATACGGTGATGTAGTTATCTATTTAGGCTTTGGTTGAGAATGTATCACTAGTTTCATGATGGTTGATATTCAACGTATTCTTAGTGTTTGTAATTTGCTCGTTTAGGCAATCGTCACCAAATAGCGCCTGACGGTTTATAAATCAGAAGGCATAAACACGAGGGATTGAATACGTCTATATTTTGGCACACCACTAAATAGACCAGCAAACCACAAACACACAGAGAAGGGTAAGAACACTAGCGAGCGATTCGGTGAATTGGTGAATGTATTCATAAGATTAGAATGTTGAGTCATTGAGATATTTAATAGGTTAACATTAAAGCGAATAGGATGAATATAAGCGTAGACGTAAACTATGTTCAGTCGTACCATCAGCTCATACAAACCAGACAATAATATAAACCAATAGTACATATAAGTTATTGCTGTACAAATGGCTTGGTTAAATAAGTTAATCGAAAGGCTTAACCAAATTCTAAATATAAGCGAACTCAAATGTATGTGTGGAGGCACTACAAGCCCTGCACTAGCTCCACAAGAGCAGCTAAAAATGGTAAATACACATAGAGACACAGGAACTAGACAATTTCATGAACTCACCATTGGTGATCGGCTAAAGAAAGTAAGACATAATCTTGTTGCATTGAATCTATGCTTTAAGGTTTTTTGTATTCGTCAAGTTACCATATTTGACTAGTTACATCACATTCGAACAGTATTTTCAAGAATATAAGCTTTTCTTGATACTGTCAGTGATTGTACTTTGAATTCAGTTCCAGGTGTATTAGGTTTCACAAATAACTTTAATGGATATACAAGTTTTCTTAGTAAACTCTGAATACGTTTTAGTTTCTTTTCAAGACTATAGTCAGAACAAATAGTTTTGATGCTGTAAGTCAAACATTTGACTGATTTTCTCTTAAACTGTGGTAGTATGAAATTTGAAATGTGTATATTTTAGCCTGGTGTACAGTCCGGCTTACGATAAATATTTCTTTTTATTAACCTGTCAGTTCTTCTTATCAATTAGGATGTCTAGAAAAACAATGTTGCCGCAATATTATTCTTTCATTGTGTGAAGGTGATAGTTTAGTGGATTCCAGAGACATGTGTGACACTAATTACGTTGGTAGATTGTATTTCACAACCAGAGAACAATAGAGAAGGGACCGATGTAGATCGATAGAAAAACAATTTGTCTCTCCTATATGTATTGTAACAGAAGTACATTATCATTCACTATATTTCAATTTGAATTATATCCAACTGATAGGCTTTCTGGTTTGTGAGATAGAACTGACGCAATTCCAGCGCAAGTGGAAGTGGAAGTGGATAGGACAAACACTGAGGAAAGCACCGAACTGCATCACAAGACAAGCCCTCACATGGAACCCTCAAGGTTAAAGGAAAAGACAAGGTCCAAGAAACACTTGACGACGAGAAATAGAGACAGACAGGAGAAGAATGAGCAAAAATTGGACAGAACTGGAAAAGAAGGCCCAGGATAGAGTAGGTTGGAGACAACTGGTCGACGGCCTATGTCCCATTAGAGGTAACAGGCGTAAGTAAAGTAAGTAATTTAGGCTTTCTGCTTGTTGGTTACCATATATTCTATAGCACAAAGAACAAGATACTATCACATTTAGTCATTATCTATCTAATTACAAATTTTAATTTTTGCCAAACTTGTTCTTCATTTTTTTCAAATTTCTCTTTGTATTATTTAATTTAACCTCTCGGGAAAAGTATAGTAACTTACATAACTACTTTGATTTAAACGACAAATGTATGTATGTAACTTGTCAAATTTCAAGATCTATATCAAATAACCTTGTCAAAACTGCGCAAACTAAACGAACAAACTATCTTGTCAATCTAATACGGCTTTATTTTTCTCGTCAATAATTGTCCTCTTTTATTGAACAATCAATTGAGCGATCAATCAAACATGTAATTATTTAACACTGAACATCAATCAGTTTACAAATTCAAAAATATATATATATACATATATAAAGACTAGTTGAAAAAGAATTATTTGCATTTATTTTGTTTTATTGTGTACGTTAAATTGTTCAATATTGCACAAAATTCATGTTTTTAACTGTGAATGATTTCATTTTAAAATGAAACTTCTTGTTTATAGAAAATAATCTGTTGAGGATGTTAGATCCCCAGAACTCGCTTGATAAATATCTTTATTTTGGATTTATTTCATTGGGCTGATCAGTTGACCTTGAGATCACATTACCCTTGGCTGTGATTGGTCAGTGTGTCATTTTAGTGTGCTATTTTGTGACTCCTCTCCCAAGGACGTCTCTATGGAGTAAAAATAAACGCGATTTGTGTACTGGCTAGGTGTTTTATGGAATACACTTTCTACGCTATTATATCAAGACTTCTTGCTGGTACTATTGAAAATATTTAGAATCATTCTTTTATTATTTCTAGTAATCAAATAAATTTGCAAATCTTTGTAATTCAAGGCTGTGGAATAAATGAATGAATGAATTAGTTAGTTTTACTAACTTACTTACTTATTTTACGCCTGTTACCCTCCTAATGGAGTATAGGCCGCCGACCAACGAATTATTTTTCCTGGTTAGCGTTTCTTTTTAACGAATGAGTGAAAATCTCCCAGCATGGTTTAAGATGGGTCAGTCAAAAATAATACGCAGTTCGATCTTAGCACACTTGGTTGATAGTGGTCATATTGTAGATAAGTCTAGATCTTTTCGAGTGATCTATCGTATACCTCAATCATTTCCCAACGAAGTTCGATCTCGTCTCCTACATATAGCAGAAGCCATAGGACTTCGTACATTCAACTCCAATTTAGGTGTTCAGAAGAAATTTGTGACACCCCTATCTCTTCCGTGACCGAATATGACGTAACTAAAGATTGACATTATACATTTTTTATATTATTTTATTTTTATTTTTACACATATGCTTATTACGTAATGGTTTTGATGTTTTTAATGATTATTTAAAGTCTATTCATCCACCTTTGACCTACCGTCGCAAGCCTCCAAAACTATGCCCCAAAATATCGTAAAAGTGCTCACTAGTGACTAGCTTCGTGAGGAAATTCTCGGAGAAGACGTGACCAATGGAGTTCAACCCTGTCGGGTGTAGGCAGTAACTACCAAAGACAAATGGGTGAGGTCGCGCAAAATCCCTAGATCAATCAGAGTTAGACATTAACACCGTTGGGTGCCGGCCCAGTGGTCCGATGGTAAGGCGTCCTCCTACAATGCCAAAGGTCCCGGGTTCGAATCCCGCGAAGAGCAGTAGTCGTGGATGCGCACTGCTGACGAGTCCCATACCAGGACGAAACGGCCGTCTTGCAGTGCTTCCAGGTTTCTAATAGCGGTCTAACAATGATTGATTGATGATTTCAAATGTAATAAAACTTTAGTTATCATATTTTATAATTTTCTTACTACTATCAGTACAACTGTCTTCCTACTATCCACTTGAACTTTTGTCTATTATATATAGTTACGTAATCTTTCTCATTTCATTGTGATTATCACTCAAACTGCCTTGACTGGTTTAACATTTTCATATAGAAATATTCATGTACACTGAAGAGTAAAGCCTGATGATGCCGATCTAATCGAAAACAATAGTATTGTTCACTTATATGTGTTGTTTTCCTTTTAACAGAGTTGTATTTCTGCAGGTCGGCGTCGTGCTAACCCCATGCCCAACACTCTTCCTGCCTTATCTGGGCTTAGGACCGGCAGTAACCCTAGAAGGGCTCCAGACGGAGTTAATTATTCAATAAACATCTTTTTTGTTTAGAAAAAAATAAACTTGAATGATTTTTATTAGAGTTCTTGTTCAGTGATCAGTCAGTCAGTCAATCACAACGTAGAACTTCTCAACATAAGTACATCAGTTCACATTGCCATATCACATATTATGGCAACCTTGTTTAGCAATAGAACTGATGACTGGTATGTCTAGATAATTAACAAATAAAAACACATATTTATCAAGGTTATTTTTAAAACCAGTAGTATGTAACTTAACACATTCTTACTACAACATTATTAACTGATTATTTTACTTTAATAACATAAAATTTACAGAAAACAACTTAACAACAGATGATGATTTATTCAGTGATAAAAATATTTGGTTTATGCATTTTGAGCTTTACAATGGTGATGACGAAACTGACTCAAATTCCTATCAAATTTGATAAACAAGGTAAGTTAGTATTTATTGCCTGAATTGATCAGATTGTTATTTCCTCTAGTGATTTTATTACAAGGTGTTGATGCTTGTCCTTTTCACTGTCTTCCTCTCTCATAATCCCAAAGTTCCTAAAGGGATGGATCTTTGAAGTCAGATTACTGTTAATACCTTGACTACTACCTCTATTACTACTATGGGATTTGAATTGACAATTACATCTCTGTGCTAATGTGGTATAGTAACTTGAACTGATGTATGGATGTACGTACATACGTACGAAGTTATATGTTGCTACTGATTGATTAATTGATTGAGGTCTTTGAAGAGAGCCACGAATAAGGATTGTTAAAAAATTTCCTCCCTAGAACAACAAGGTAGCTGTCTTTAGTGAACGAGAACACAGGTGGGGCAACCGAATTGTATTTGACGAAAATTACAGAGTTACTCAGTAAAATCGGAAAACCATATCGTAAATCGTTCATTTGCAAAATATCAGTTCATCATATCGAACTGGACTGTTCCTGTTGCAAACAACATCAATCCATTGTCACTATTCATGCGTTTCATACAAATTCCATTATTTTCTAACCCTTCCTTTCTTGATCTTCTCCCATCTCCCGCTGCCAGACATTACGTTGACGCTCACGTCATATACTACTTATAAGTAGCTCGCACCACAGCACCACATGTCTAGTATTTCCTGATGTTCAATAGTTATTCTAGAAAAAACTAGTTTTCGATTAGAATAGTCTTTAAGGTGTATAATCTCTCTACAAATATTGTGAACTTCATTTCTTGATTGATAGGCTGCAATAAAATCTGTTTATTTTTTTCTGTACAAATCAATGGAACGCCAACTATAATATTTTAAAACGTTCAGACTTTCGTTAGCGATAACACTCCAACAATTTTATAAATCTATTAAGGTTAAAAGAAATACCTTCTAGTTAGTAAACATGAGTATTAAAATATTCAACACCAACCAGAATAACTAATGAGAAAAACGATTGTGTGATACAAATGCTCGGGATTAAGCAGTTGAGCCAATCTCTCTGCATATTCCAAACTATATTAGATATTTAAAGATTCTTAAAGTTAAGTTGTATTTATTCAAATTACTTACTTACATGTTTAAGCCTGTTACCTACAGTGGACCAGCATTCTCCCAACCGACTCTGTCCTGGGCCTTCCTTTCCATTTCTATTGAATTTTTGTTCATTCTTCTCATGTCGGCTCCCAATTCTCGGTGTAACGTGTTCTCTAGTCTTCCTCTTTTCCTTTGACATTGAGTATTTGGATTTAGGGCACTTTCCGCAATACGGGTCCTATCCACTTTTAGCGCTTCTTCTTGATTTCTACGTCTGCTGGGATCTGATTTGTTTTGTGCCACATTGGGTTGCTGCTAATGATATAGAGCCAATGGGTTCACAATATCTTGCATAGACTAACTGTTAACAAACACCTGTATCTTTTGGATGATGGCTTTCACACTTCTTCAAGTTTCCACTTCACAAAATAAAATCTTCTTGACATTTATACTGAAAATTGTGGCCTTGGTGTTGGTTGGCAGATTTTTATTATGTAGAAACTCGGAATTTCTTTAAATGAAACCAGTTTTCTAATCAAAATTACTAGGATTTGATTGTGACCAATTTGGTCTCGTGTGCTTTTATGCGTATGAAAGCGGATGTAACTTCCCGAGCTGTCCACACCGTGGAAGGGTTCTTAGTTTTAGAAGGGGTATCGGCCTCATGACTTCCGAAGGAACTCGGCTTTCATTATGAGACGTCACAATTCTTCTAAATGAAATCTTTCTAACTCCCAGAGCACAGTTTATACGGTTTGAATTATTTTTTTCGGTAAGTTAGTTTTTTCCGGGATGGGGTAGCCAACCAACCACATCTCAACCCTCTTTCTTTATTCGGGCTTGGGACCGGCGGTAGACCCGAAGGGTCTACGGGAAGAGTTAAATTACTAGGGAAAAAACTGATACCAGACAAAAAAGTGATCTTATGTCTTTTTCTGTATGATGTATTTTTTCTCAACTGAATGAGATAACTGTTAATCCAAGTTAAGCCTCAAATCAATAAAAAGACGTCGCTTTCATACTAATGGTAAATGGTCAAAGGATTGAGTTAATTAAAATGAAAGTTAGTTACTTACGTTCTAGTTCTATTACAGGACAGTATACATAGAATGATTAACTTCCAAATTCATACGTAGGCTAGATTGATAGTCATTGGTTGGGATAATAGTTTAGTTTTCTTTAGACCAAAGTAATAATAATCCTTTGGAGCAGTAGGTCCAAACATATATACAAAGGAAAAAGCAAGATCTTTCGATACAACACAACACGCACCAACCAAATCAGACTTGACGGAGAATCTGTGTAGGATATAGAAACCATCACATATCTGGGCAGTAACATTGAGGACCACCGTGAATCTGATGTAAATGTGAAGGTGCAGTTTAGCAGGACAAGGGCAGCATTTCTACAACTGAATAATGTCTGAAAGTGAAAACAATTAACAACCAACACCAAAGTCACAATGTTCAATAGAAATGTCAAGACAGTCCTACTGCATCAAGTACAAAGTCAGAGAAGTATGAAAGCCATAATCCAAAATATTCAAGTGTTTATTTGCAGTTATTTATGATTTATACTGAGGATTAGTTGGTGGCCAGATACCATCAGCAACAACCTACTGTGAAAGAGAATAAATCAGATTCCAGCTGACGAACAAATCAGGAAGAAGTGGTGAAAGTGGATAGGACTCATATTACGGAATGTGTCCAACTGCGACACAAGGCGAGCATTAACTCACAATACTCAAAGTCAAAGAAAAAGAGGAAGACCACAGAACACGTTACACCGAGAATCGGAGGCCGATATAAGAAGAATGAACAACAATTGAATAGAACTGGAAACGAAGGCCCAAGACAGAGTCGGTTGAAGTCAGTCAGTTAGTTACAACGTAAGAACTACGTACATCTGTACATAAGTTCAGGTTGCCATACCACATTAGCACAGAAACGCAAATGTGAAATCAAATCCCATGGTGATAAAGATAGTAAGGTATTAATGGTAATGAAGAAGACTATGGTTTGAAGATATTATTCAAGAAAAATAATTCAGTGAGATAAGGTTAGAAAGACAAAGAGAGAGGTGCTGAAGAATCCAGAAGATTAGGATTTGAGAGAGCTCACAACGAATGGATGCATTTGCGCCGTTGCAAACGATTTTGATCCATGTCATTCAAGGTCTCTAACCATTGGTGACTTTCGTCTCGCAAATCCCAACCAGGTAGTCTACATCTACCAACATGACTCAGTCCACTAGTCAGTGACTTCATGGATTTCTGCCATGTTTTGGTTTTTCCGCCCCTAAATTTCTTCCAACCTACTCCTACACTACAAAACATAACTCGTCGAGGCAGTCGGTGGTTAGCCATACGTAACACATGTCTCAACCACCTCAACTGATGACGTTTCACTACTTCATCTATTGATCTGCCACCCTTACCTAGTACTCGTTTCCTAACTACAGCATTGCTTATACGGTTGTCCCACGGTATACGAGCAATGCTTCTTAAACATTTATGATCGAATACTAGTAAACTACGAACATCTTCTACTCTCAACGGCCATGTTTCGCATCCATATAGGAGAACGGAGCGAACAGTCGGTTGAAGAATGCTGGCCTATGCTTCATTGGAGGGAACAGGCATAAGTAAGTAATTCTGATAACTAAAGAACAATGGAAATAAACATTTGTAGGACGCATAACCTTCTAATCTAATCTAATTGTATTCTTTCATTATCAAAAATGATCTCAATTAACTTGTAAAGTGTATTGCTGCTGTTCAACCGACCAAATACAGATCATGATGTAAACCCAGACTAAAAAATCACATTACATTCATTGAAAGATAATTAATTCACTGATTATTCTCATAAAATACTCACTCTATTATTAACCGTTTTATATCAACTGTCAACTAATATTTCCTTTTCTTTTTGCCTTATCTCTAAACAGGAATTATGTATACAGAATATGAGAAATTAGATTTTTATTTAGTGAAAAATTTAACTTTAGTTATTAAAGATGATATATGCGCAACAATTGTGGATTTTACACGTCCAACTGCAAAAGAAATTCAAACAAAATCTGGTTATCGTAATGTGACTGAGTAAGTTTATTAATTTGTTTAATAAATTATAAAATATTATGAAAAAAAATCAGGGAAAGCCAATAGTAGTAGTGTAGTGAACGAGAACACAGGTGGGGCAACCGAATTGTATTTAACGGAAATTACAGAGTTACTCAGTAAATTCGGAAAACCATATCGTAAATCGTTCATTTGCAAAATATCAGTTCATCATATCGAACTGGACTGTTCCTGTCGCAAAACATCAATCCATTGTCTGACATTTCACTATTCATGAGTTTCATACAAATTCCATTGTGTTCTAACTCTTCCTTTCTTGATCTTCCCCCATTTTCTGCTGCCAGACATTACGTTGACGCTCACGTCATATACTACTTATAAGTAGCTCGCACCACAGTAGTAGTTCACCTCACATAGTGAGTTACATTATCAGTGATTGTTATATGGTATTGATCTGAACTTGGCTAATTTACTGAAATGATTTGATGTTGGAAATGTCGATGGCTGGATATTTACTTAACTCAGTGATTTAAAAATCAACTCTTTATTTGATAACCACCACGAAGTCTTGCTTGGTTGCAATTCCTGTGAACGACTATGCATACTACATACTACTGAGGAATCTAACGATTGTGTAACATCAAAGACAATCTGTTATCTCAACTCTTTTCAAGATTCAATTATTGTTATGTAAGGATTTAAATCCAAAAAAAAAAACATCAAAGTAATATGAAAATTCGTGATTTTATGAATAGGAAATGAATCTGTTTGTATGATATCATTATAACACTAATGGAAATACGAGCTTAAAGTGTAACATTCAGAGTCTAGCGGAAAATTCACATTCAATGAACATATGAACTGTTTACATTCTGATCCCCATAACTATAATTGAAGAAAAAAATTGTACACTGTGCTCACCGGTGACTAGCTTCGTGAGGAAATTCTCGGAGTTCTAATGAGAAGACGTTACCAGTGGAGTTCAACCCTGTTGGGTGTAGGCAGTAACTAGCGAAGATAAATTGGTGAGGTCGCACAAAATGCCTGGATTGATCATAGTTAGATATTAACACCGGTAGATGCCGACCTAGTGGACCAGAGGTGCGAGACCGAAGGTACCTAGTTCAAATCATCCGAGTAGTAGGAGTTGTGAATGCTTACTGACGATGATTCCCGAACCAGGACGAAACGGCTGTCCAGTACTTCCAGGTTCCTAATGGTGGTGTAACAAAAATTGACTGATCATTTCAATTGAGCGTTTATTGGAATGGTTTACAATCAGTGGAAATATCACATAAACTGTCCACTCTCTAAATCTAGAACTTTTCCAGTATCATAGTATATTCAGTACTTGAAGAAAAGTAGGTTAATGAATATCAAGAGATTCGTATGACAGTATTGTCAGCAAGCGGTTATGTAGATCGTTGAATTTCATTGAAATCATAAACCGACCTAGGTTAGGCTACCGTTGAAAACTTCGAAACATTGGAAGGTCATTCCAACTTAGTGTGGGACTACTCAACAATATGTAACTCCGATTACGAACGCAGAACTCGAACCAAGGACATTTAGTCTCACTTCACTGATACTATTTTATGATCGAGATTTTGTTCAAGTCTTGTATCATTAAACAATATCATGGTCAATAGAGATTTGACGTTGTATGTAGCAGTGAAGTTTCTATTATAATTTTGAGCATGACAAAAAATGAGCTGTACGAATTCCTTCACAAATCAATTATCATATTTTACACTGGTTGACAGATTAAGTTCATTTCCATTTATTATTGAGGGAGTAGTGGAGGAAGCTTTTAACTAAATCTTCTGACCTACTTTACGCCGTTTTCACCAAAGATTTCTGAAAGAAACCTGCGTCCACAAATGATTACAAATATTGATCTGTAGGTCAAGCTAAAACAGATGAAGAGGGTTTTTTGTTCTTCCCAGCGGTAAAACCTAGCTGGTTATCTCTAACTGCTAGCTTTTGGTGAGTACATGTATTTAAAACACTTCGTAGCCTTACAAGCCATAACTACTCATTTTTAGACGTCTCAGCAGTGAAATTTCACGTATGTGGTTCCTCATGAAAGCCTGGTGACTAAACCACTCGACTCAGAATAGTCTCTCTCTATCAGTTAAAACTTCCCTATCAAGGGTAATGGTCGTAATTATAGTACTTAGCTATAACTGCCAAATAAACGCTCATTTCATCTTAAGCTACCATGATGACCCTGTCGAGCCTAATTAACTGGGACGGTTTGTCATCTGGATCCTACCGTCACAAATAAATCTGTTGGAAGAAAGTAATATTTAAAACAACAAGTCCTATTAATGACTGTCTTAGGGCTTGGCAGAACTAATCTGATGCTCTTGCATATCCAATAATTGTCTTCCTACCAAGAGGAGGTTTTAAAGGTCATCTCAAAATATAACACACCTTACCTAGTCTGACAGATTTTGAATGCCAGTGATAATGTCGTACGTGACTAATCTCGAGTAGGTTTCGTTTAGAATCTGCCCAAAATTCCAGGTTCATAAGGCTACTACTAACCATTTATCGGAAAACTGTTCTTACAAAGTCTGATAGCATTCACACTCACTTTGTTCCCAACCAGCTACCTCTGTTATTTGTAACATCAACCGATTAAACAAGTAGATGGTTATCATGACTTATTAACTTCTCTTGTGGTTCGAAATAATGAACATCGTATATAAGCCGAAATGTGAACAGGCATTCAGGCATAAATAAATTGTTACCTCTATCTTTCAATTTTTAAGTTTATTTCTCTAAATAATACATCTTGAATAATATCTTTGAACCTTCATCTTCTCCATTACCACTGATACTCCTACTACATCTACCACTATGGGATTTGAACTGACAATTGAATCTCTCTCTGTGTGTTAATGTGATATGACAACTTGAACTAATGTACATACATACGTACATTGTGGCTGATTGACTGACTGAAATAATTACTATTCATTATTGAAGCAACCCCATCGATTGTTGATACACATCAGAATAACAGAAATCTTGATTTCCAATGCAAATTTTATTCGCGCACAATACCGAAGGTCCTGGGTTCGAATCCTGTGCGGGGTGCAGGAGTCGTGGATGCGCACTGCCACTGAGGAGTCCCATACCAGGACGGAACGGCCAATGTCCAGTGCTTCTCCCAGGTTTCTAATGGTGGTCTACTAACATTGATCGATTCATGATTTCAAAAATGTGTAACTTAACAATCTTCACAACCCCGTAATGAAAATTCAATAAGCTAAATTTTAATTTAAAATTCTCAATGGGACATTCATAATAAAGTATGCAATTTTATCGAATGTTTTTTTAGTACATGTGGAATTTGGATTAGAAATCCATCGAAAGGTTTAAGATCCAGGAGACCAGAATAAATAATTATTACAAATTCATAGAATTGGCATGTTCATAATGAATCAACCAATGGAACATTACAAATTCCAAAATATTTCAAACAGACAGTTAACCAACATTTTGTAACTTGAATAAATTGAGGCTTTTTTTCGCGAATCATGAGTTCTTATTATTAGGATGATCAGGTTGGGCTCCGTGAAGAAGTTTCTCCAAGAACGACGTTTCGCGAACTCGCATCGTTTGCATTAGCGGTGCAGTCAGATAAAGGAATGTGAGAAGAGTTAGTAGTGGAGATAAGAGAGGTATTAGGGGGTGTAGGAAGGATTTGATTTTGACCAATTTGGTCTCGTGTGCTGTTACTGGTATAAGGGCGGTTGTCAATTCCCGGCTGCCCACACCGTGGAAGGTTGTTTCCTGAGTGACCTGAAAAGGAAGAGATTAGTGTTAGTCTTGGAGACCTGGGTGCGTGACCGCAGAGTCCAAGGGACAACTGCTTGAGGCCGGTCACGTACGGCCATTTTATGAGAAGTTTTTTGAGTGTTAGCTCCGCTCTTTCAAAGCCCTTAATGGGCACCCTTACCAGCGTAGACGGAAATCCATGAGGTTGGGTGAGGTGTGACATTTTTAGGGTCGACCTTTTCTAACCCTTCCTTCCTTGTGAGAAGGCAGCATCGCTGCAGATGCTGGTTGTTCGAGGGAAACACCTTACTGTTGTCACACCCTCTGCAGTCAGGAGTAAGACTTCGCCCTCAGACCTTGAGTAGCTACTTTTAGTCTCATCGTTCTCCAATCGACCTGTCTGGCATGGTAGGACCTGCAGGAACATAAGTTCCAGCCAATATAGCTCGGTTGGATTATCACGATAGGCAAACCCGACCACCACGTCAAGGTAGCAGCTTCGGTTCCAAGTTCTAGTGAGAAGTCGTGACCAGTAGAATTCAACCCTGTTTGGGTGTGAGACAGTGCTTACCGAAGAAATTGGATGAGGTTGCGCCATATAGTGAATAGATCGAAGTTAGACCTTAAATACCGCTAGATACCAGCTTAATGGTTCAGAGGTTAAGCATTCACACGCAAGACCGAAGGTCCCAGGTTCTAATCATGCGAGTAGCAGGACACATGGATGTGCACTGCTGATAAGACCCATACCAGGACGTAACAGCCGTCCAGTGACTCCAGGTTTCTAACGGCGGTCTAACATTGTAAAACTCTAATAGATCATTGTTGAATTTGAAACTTTTTGAAGGTCAGTCAGTCATGAGCAACGTAGAATCTGGTACATTTTTGCGCGTTCAACTTCTTACATCATATGAACATAGCTAGATGAAATCATCACGACAAAATACCAACATTATGATTCGAAGAAGAAATTTGTGGAATAAAAACCACAATTATTTGAAGGCATGCGGTACATGAATCTGAACAAATGAGACCAATGTTGAATCATGTCGTCAAAATTATTCAACCCTAAATTGTAATAATTGCTCTGACTGAAACCATGTAGTCTGGATTTGTATACAAAGTTCAGTCCGACAGTCCATGACTTCATGAGTTGACAGTAGGTTTCAAGATGGTCGTCCTTAACTTTCAACTTATTCTTATACCAGTCAACATTGCTTGTCAAGCTAGGCTACAGAACCAATGAAAGATATCCGCTTTCTTATTAACTGTGAACACGACTCATAAGTGAATTATACAAAACACAGACGCACAACAAAAATATATTTCAGCTCAAGTTACTGTACGATGTTAACACAGTGTGCGATGAATAACAAAATAGTTCAAGTAGTATAATCAATAACAGAAAAAAATGTTTAAGTAAACAGATGACAGTTCGAAATATCCAAAACATGCATAACTGGGATTTACGACAGATAAATTTGAATAGAGAAATAAGAAGACATATTTTGTGAGATAGTACCATTTCGTGCTTTCTCGTCAGTCACATACAAGCAACATGTTATTTGTGTAAATACAGCAGTTTTGAAAATAAGGTCAAAGTTTCTTATTTAGCATGACATTCACTCACTAGAAGAACCATGGTAAACAAAGGTCAACATACAGTTGTTTCTGAACACATAAAGTTGGACTTTTCCGACCAGTCAAGATAGCTTCGAGTAGTTTCAGTGTGTGTGGGTTTTGATCACATGTCACAACTCTAAAGGCTGATTTTGGGTCAATTTGATGACCACTCATCATTAGGTGTTTTGCAATGGACGAGGCTGGGTTTCTTGATCGATTTTGAGATGATCGGCCAGGTTGATTAAACATGGATTTGATTAGCCATTTTGGAATATGTTCCCCTATCCTGTCTTCCAATCGGCGATCTGTCCTCCCTAAGTAACTTTCTCCGCAATTACATGTGAAAGCCTCGTCCATTGCAAAACATCTAATGATGAGTGGTCATCAAATTGACCCAAAATCAGCCTTTAGAGTTGTGACATGTAATCAAAATCCACACACACTGAAACTACTCGAAGCTATCTTGATTACATATTTGAAATCATTAATCAATCATCATTGTTAGACCACCATTAGAAACCTGGAAGCACTGGACGGCCGTTTCGTCCTAGTATGGGACTCCTCAGCAGTGCGCATCCACGACTCCTGCTCCTCGCAGGATTCGAACCCGGGACCTTTGGCATTGTAGGCGAACGCCTTACCATCGGACCACTGGGCCGGCATCCAACGGTGTTAATGTCTAACTCTGATTGATCTAGGGATTTTGCGCGACCTCACCCATTTGTCTTTGGTAGTTACTGCCTACACCCGACAGGGTTGAACTCCACTGGTCACGTCTTCTCAACTAGAACTCCGAGAATTTCCTCACGAAGCTAGTCACTAGTGAGCACTGTTACATTATATTGGGGCACAGTTTTGGAGGTTTGCGTTTTTACATATTTGAAATCATTAATCAATCATCATTGTTAGTCGGAAAAGTCCAACTTTATGTGTTCAAAAACAACTGTATGTTGACCTTTGTTTACCATAGTTCTAGTGAGTGAATGTCATGCTAAATAACAAATTTTGACCTTATCTTCAAAACTGCTGTATTTACACAAATAACATGTTGCTTGCATGTGACTGACGAGAAAGCACGAAATGGTACTATCTCACAAAATATGTCTTCTTATTTCTCTATTCAAATTTATCAAAGGGAACCACTGTTTTGAATTTCTAAAACAGATAAATTTGACAAAACATATATTTCTCAAAGTATTCACTCGCATACCACTTCTGGATAAAAAAAACCACATTTAGTAATCTGAATATAGTATATGTCTTTTTACATCGCAGTTCTTTCTTGATTCATTGAATGAATGCAGCTCGAAGAGCGTGCATCAATTAGCTGATAACTGTTCGCGCAAACCTGTCATCGCTGTATCAAAGCTTAAGCAATAACTACTTCAAATTACTATAACAAGCTGATTTCCTCAATGCTAATCCCCGACCGTAGCTGCTACCTTGACGTGGTGGTCGAGTTTGCCTATCGTCATGACCCAGCCGAGCTATATTGGCTGGAACTTATGTTCCTGAAGGTTCTATCATGCTAGGCAGGTCGACTGAAGAACGATGAAACTGAAAGCAGCTACTCAAGGTCTGAGGGCGAAGTTGTACTGCTGACTGACTGCAGAGGGGTGTGACAGCAGTAAGGTGTTTCCCTCGAACAACCAGCATCTGCAGCGATGCTGCCTTCTCACAAGGAAGGAAGGGTTAGAAAAGGTCGACCAAAAAAATGTCACACCTCCCCTACCTTATGGATTTCCGTCTCCTCGGGTAAGGGTGCCCACTAAGGGCCTTTAAGAACGGAGCTAATCCTCTAAATACCTTTCATAAAAAGGCCGTGCGTGACCGGCCTCAAGCAGTTGTCCCTTGGGCTCTGCGGTCACGCACCAACACTAATCTATCTTCCTTTTCATGTCCCTCAAGAAACAACCTTCCACGGTGTGGGCAGCCGGGAAGTGACAACCGCCCTCATATCTGTAACAGCACGTGAGACCAAATTGGTCAAAATCAAATCCTGACTCAATGCTAATCACACTTTTTTCACAACCATTCAACTGTAGTGGATATATTTATGAAGATAAGAGTTCAAAGTTCTATGTGCTTCAAGTAGGTCGACATAAGTGCCATTGCCAGTTACTGATATTAAACTAACAAAATTTAGTTCTTCGGACGTTATTTAAAAAAAAACCTGGATTCTAATGAAAAATATCAGGAACCCATTATAGCTGAATAATCCTTTGGAACTATATTTGTTCTTCTCAATTCTTACTTTACGAATTGGAGTATACGAAAACAAGTACTTTTATTTTTTTTTATATAAATTTACCCTGTATTGTCAAGGGCAATTTTATATTGGACTTCAGGAGAACCAAAGAGACTGCTCACGTTTTATCATTACTACATGAACAGTTCGGCTCAATCCTGTGGTGCAACCTCACACAGGTACCTGATACCCTGGTAGACCATTCACATCATTTATATCTACACACTGGTATATATATTTCCGATACATGATCGCGTCAATCAATATGCACCGCATGAACAGGCCATTTTGAGCCATCCCGCTTAACAATACTGTCAAACTCATTATTTTTAGCAATGGTGATATGTTGTAATACAGCATCCCAATGACAATGGCCCTTCGGGAATGTTGCACAACAACCACCTATATCAATGAAATCGTCGCCCTGCTAACCAATTTTTTATATGGACTGTTAGCAATGCTTACCAAAGCAAAGCAAAGCCATCCACAATGTTCACAGCGAACCTCTAGTCTCATAGGAGATATTCAGCTCTATATAGCAGAATAGCATATGGTGTACACATATAAGGCGTAGGATAGTAGAAGAGGCAGCCCAGCTTCATTCAAATAGGCCCAAACACTTCTATTACCATTTGTCTCATGTCGGGCAATAATTTCTTCGCGTTTCCGAAATTTTCATTTTTCGACCATATGAGATCTGAGTTAGGGGTAGTATCCCTAAAACAATTACTTGGGGCAGATTAAGAAATTCGATATACACCCTTCCCTAGTCACTAGCTAGCACGATGTACCTGGAAGACTTTGTAGTAGTCTGAACAGACGACTAACAATGATATGACCGAGATAAGCTCACAAATAACTGATGGTTTGTCTGAGCCGCGACTTAAAATTGGAACTCAGGGGCTGTTTTATGTAATAATCCTGAACAATAGTTGATTAGTTTAGATCATATGATTAAAAGTAGGCCACTGTAGCACAAATACAGGTTCAACCAACAACTCTTTTATACGGTTCACAAAGTGATGCCATAAATATCGCTTACTTCCAGTCTCCTGGTACTTTCGGCATTGTTTCTAGCTAACCTTCCTTATTTCCACCCTGTTAAATTTGCTATCAATATGCTTGAGATAATATGTTCAAACGATTTTCTTAACTGGGCTAATCCCAGACCCCATAAATTTGGTCTCAGTCGCTAATTGTCCCAATCTACAAGAAAGGACAAAAGTCCTCTTGTGACAATCACAGGGGAATAAGTCTAACTAATATAGTATCTAAAATATTGGCCTCAATAATACTTCGACGCTTAACGAAAGCTCGTGAAGAGCAGACTCGAGAAAACCGGGCTGGTTTCAGACCTGGACGTGGCTGTATAGACGACATCTTCACACTAAGACAGGTCCTGGAACATAGACACACATTTAGGCGTCCTACAATAGTTGTGTTTCTCGACCTAAAAGCGGCATTTGACTCAGTGGACCGTGAGGTTCTGTGGCAGTGTGTCATTGGAAGATGTACCAAAGAAGTACATTAGCCTCATATAATCTCTCTACTCGAACACCACTGGTCGAGTGAGAGCCTATGGCGAACTGTCATCTGAATTCTCTACATCAAGTGGTGTCCGTCAAGGCTGTCCACTCTCTCCATGCTTGTTTAACTTTGTCGTAGACATCCTCTTAGAGTTAACATTAAGCTCATCAGATTTTTCAGGGGTTGACCTTCTACCAGGAAAGTCGCTTACTGATCTAGAATATGCCGATGACATAGTTCTATTCGGTGAAGACGCTGACAAAATGCAGTCTTCTCACTACCATAAGCAACAATGCAAGCATGTTCGGGATGCGGTTTTCCCCTTCGAAATGCAAAATGTTGCTTCAAGAATGAGTTGCATCGGCACCTTAACCAGTGATAGGGAGCAAAGTAGTCGAATGTGTTGATCACTTCACTTATCTGGGGAGTCTCATCACTGCTGATGGCCTGGTGACTGAAGAAGTCTCAGCTCGGATACAGAAGGCTCGATTGGCTTTTGCCAAACTGCGTCACTTATCGCGCCGACAAGATATCCGTTTGCTAACCAAAGGACGAGTGTACTGTGCAGCAGTTCGCTCCGTCCTAATATATGAATGCGAAACATGGCCGTTAAGAGTAGATGTTCGTAGGTTACTAGTATTCGATTATAGATGTCTTAGAAGCATTGCTCGTGTATCGTGGGACAACCGAGTAAGCAACGCTGTTATTAGGAAACGGGTGCTAGGTTAGAATGGCAGATCAATCGATGAAGTATTGAAACTTCACCAGTTGAGGTGGTTGGGACACGTGTTACGAATGCCTAACCACCGACTGCCTCAACAACCTATGTTTTGTGGTGTAGGAGTAGGTTGGAAGAAAGTTAGGGGCGGCCAAACCAAATCATGGCAGAAATCCATGAAGTCACTGACAATTGGACTGAGTCATGTTGGTAGATGTAGGCTACCTGGTTGGGTTCGGCGAGACGAAAGTCACCGATGGTTAGAGACTGAAAGAAATGGCTCAAAATCATTTCCAATGACGTAGATGCACCCACTCGTTATGTTCTCTCAAATTCTAACCACCTGGATTACTCATCATCTCTATCTTTCTTTTTCTGAATATATTTCCCTGAATTGTACTTCTTGAATAATATCTTTGAACCTTAATCTCTCCGATCACAGCCAATACTTCTACTACCTCAACTACTATGGGATTTATACTGAAAATTCCGTTTCTGTGCTGATGTGGTCTGGCAGCCTGAACGTACGTACGAAGTTCTATGTTGCAACTGACTGACTGAGAGCCCATTAATCTATAGCTGTCTTAATTTGACTCATACATATATTATGAATGTTAATCTCACAATTCCATTTAATATATATGAACTTATTGAAATTTACATCGAATTCTAGTTACTTTTATGTTAGAATGCCAAATACATACGATTTGGTTGTGTGAATTTTCCTATCAGTGTTTCGGACTGAAACTGATCAGTCCCTTCAAGAATATATGTATCCTATGGGAATCGCCTCAATATTTACACTAAGACAGAAACATTTTTAAACAGAAATAGGAGGCGGTTAGCAATGAGCTAAGATATTTGAATTTCGTCCTACGTGAAACTCGTAACTTCAGGGTGGATTTCCACTCCTAGACCTGAACCCGGTACCATTCTCTTTAAATCCCAATGCATTATCATCCACTTAACTACTGAGTTCAGATAGCCACTCATAGATGTACGTACATCCAGCTGAGTCTTAAATAGAACGAATTAAGCATCCACAATCCATCACTGAACAAAAAATGTTATGTTACACAAACAATCCTAAATTCATATGACAAAATTTTTCAAATGATATATTTGATTTAAACATAACTTCCAGTATCGTTTTTGATGTGTGTAGCCATGGAACCTAATAAGAACTTACGAAAAAGAATTTCTACTTTGTTCAAATATTAGTTTCAATAAGAAGTTCTTTACAAGAACGTCTTTTGTGATGGTATATTTTGAAATTAAGCAACACTATACACCACAAATCCAGCTGTAGTTAGTTAAGTGGTGGCTCAGTGGTTAAGGAATTCCACTTTCAGCCACCAAGTCCTACGTTATAACCCTGCTTCACTATGATATTAACCCATATACTTTGAGTTGTAGTTCATATTCCAAACAATTGCAGAATGAATTGACTAAGATATTTTAAAGATATTGTGTCAGGGAATTACTCAATATTCCATTGTACATTTTTCCCAAGCGTAGCTGCTACCTTGACGTGGTGGTCGGGTTTGCCTATCGTGATAACCCTAACCGAGCTATATTGGCTGGAACTTATGTTCCTGAAGGTTCTACCATGCCAGAAAGGTCGATTGGAGAACGATCAGACTAAAAGCAGCTACTCAAGGTCTGAGGGCGAAGTCGTACTGCTGACTGACTGCAGAGGGGTGTGACAGCAGTAAGGTGTTTCCCTCGGATAACCAGCATCTGCAGTGATGCTGCCTTCTCACAAGGAAGGAAGGGTTAGAAAAGGTCGACCCTAAAAATGTCACACCTCACCCTACCTCACGGATTTCCGTCTCCGTCGGTAAGGGTGCCCACCAAGGGCTTTCAAGAGCGGAGCAAACACTCAAAAAAATTCTCATAAAAAGGCCGTGCGTGACCGGCCTCAAGCAGTTGTCGCTTGGGCTCTGCGGTCACGCACCCAGGTCTCCAAGACCAATGCTAATCTATCTTCCTTTTCAGGTTCCTCAAGAAACAACCTTCCACAGTGTGGGCAGCCGGGAGGTGACAACCGCCTTCATACCAGTAACATCACACGAGACCAAATTGGTCAAAATCAAAATCCCTTGTACATTTGCAGTACTAAAATGTATCATTGTTTTCCATGTTTCTAGAATAAGAAATATAAAACCTAACGAAACTGTGAAAAGTTAGCTTTAATAAGTATACTAAATCAAAGAAACATATAGTAAAAAAAAATTTATGATTGTACAATAAATGAACAATAAAAATACATACAGAAATATTCTCTAAGGGTTTATGGATTAAAAATCTGTAGATAAATACCAACCAGATTGTCAGTATCTGTTAGTAGAACATAGATTAGATTAAAGCATGATTGCGTTGTTGCACGCTGATCGACTACTTTCTTATCCAATCAGCGCTAGTCGATACAAAGAAAAAACATTCTAAAATCTTTACATGTAAGAAAACTATCAATACACAAACGTCTTTTTTCAATCTAACTTTGTCATTGGAATATAATAATCTATTTCCTGTTTAACCGTGTTCTGATTTGTAATAAAGAGAGATAACAGTGGATTCCATCCCCGTCGCCAACCCAGCTATTCTTAATACTTAAGTATTCTCGGACACCGATTCACTCGAAACGTTCTCCAAAATCAGAACACGGTTAAACAGGAAATAGATTAGATTCCAATAACAAAGTTAGATTGAAAAAAGACGTTAGTATATTGATAGTTTTCTTACATGAAAAGATTCTACAATGTTACCTCTGTATCGACTAGCGCTGATTGGATAAGAAAGAGTCGATCAGTATGCAACAACGCAATCATGCTTTAATCTAATCTATAGTAGTAGTATCTGAATTTTATTGAACAGTTCGTTTGGACATAATTCTATAATCAACAGGTTCAACTCCTTTGAATAAGGAAGGATCGGTTTCATCAGTTTTAAATCCTAGTTTCTCAAAAAATCTAATGGCATTTTTATTCGACTTGAACACTGTCAACAGAACTCGATGCATATTCAATGCCAATGCAATTGAAGATAATATATTCATTAAAAATGTTCCAACATGTAAATGACGAAATTTTGGATATAATTGAATTTCATAACAATACAACACAGGATACTCTTCTTCACGTTCAAATCGAAAACTAACAAATCCAACTATGGATTGAGTTTCAGACATTTGACAACGACAAATAATCAACCAAGATTTCGAATGAAATGCTTCAGCTCGTTTAGCTTCAGCATCCCAACCCCATGATGACGAAAGATACAAATTCTAGAAAGAAAAAAAATTGTTTGTTTATTTTCAAAAATAAATCAATGCTTACTTGCATATTTTCTTGAAGTAGCTGCATTAATTCGTCAATAACTGCCACATCAGTTTGACACGCTTTTATACATTCAACAGTGATAATATCATTGACTTTTAAGTAGTCAGGAATTTCTAGTGATATATTGAGTTCTTTAGTTAAACAAGATATTTTATTAGCGCTATCAACTAATTCTTTTGCTTTGGCTTTTTTATAAGCAATTAATCCACCACTTTTACCACAGTGTTTACGCATTTGTTTTCAATCTAAAATTGTAAAGAATCGACAAAGGATAGATCTAGGTAATTAAAAATCAACAAACCAATAATCCTTACAATATGAAACTATTGTTAGGAAATGTACCATTAAATCAGACTTAATAAAAACAGTAAACTAAAATTCAGTTATTAGATTATTTTGTGGTTGGATTAGGGAACTCGATTTACTAATTTATCTCAAAAGCACAAATCACTGATAATAAACAAATCGTAATGACATAATTTCAAGCGAACGTATTCACTGAACTCAATACTTCAACGAAGTTGACTGATAATATTCTTAAACGGTGCCCTTGAAAAACTCAGTGGGAAATATATTAGTAAATGAATGATCCAGAACAACTTAAGATCCGTATAAAAACGTATCAAGTAGCACCAGAATACGGTAAGTCACTGTTACGGGTATGAGGGCGGTTGTCACTTCCCGGCTGCCCACACTGTGGAAGGTTATTTCTTGAGTGACCTGAACAGGAAGATAGATTAGTGTTGGTCTCGGAGACCTGGGAGCGTGATCGCATAGTCCAAGGGACAACTGCTTGAGGCCGGTCACGCACGGCTTTTCTATGAGAAGTTTTTTGGGGATTAGCTCCGTTCTTAAAGGCCCTTAGTGGGCACCCTTACCCAAGGAGACGGAAATCCGTGAGGTAGGGTGAGGTGTGACATTTTTTGGGTCGACCTTTTCTAACCCTTCCTTCCTTCCTTGTGAGAAGGCAGCATCGCTGCAGATGCTGGTTTTCAGAAGGAAACACCTTACTGCTGTCACACCACTCTGCAGTAGTCAGCAGTACGACTTCGCCCTCAAACCTTGAGTAGCTGCTTTTAGTCTCATCGTTCTCCAATGCACCTGTCTGGCATGTTAGAACCTGCAGGAACATGTGTTCCAGCCAGTATAGCTCGGCTGGGTCATCATTGATACCCTGAAATGCAATTTGTTTCATATAAGAAACAGCCTAACCGTTGAGTGATAAATCAGGAAAGAAACTTTTATCACACGATAAATCAGAGAAAGCATGAAAATTAATTCACACTAAGTGTTACGAGTTGGTGAGAGAAAAGAAATACCAATTATGGTATTTATCAAAATCAGACGGAAATTTAGTCAGCCACAACTAAGATTTATAACGCACGCACAGCAGTTCAGGATGCCATACCATATAAGCAATGATCGGATTATCAAGTCAAATAAAATGGTAGTAGCGGAAGAAATATGAAGGTAATCAAACAGACTATTGATCAAAGATATTATTCAAGAAGTATAAACCCGAGGAATCGATGAGAAAAAAAAGAGCGAAAACGGTCGTGAGGAATTCAGAATATTAGAATTTGAGAGGACAAAAAGAATGGATGAATCTGCACCATTAAAAATGACTTTGAGGCATGTCATTCAAAGTTTCTAACCATCGATTACTAACATCTCGCTAAACAGGTGGTCGAAAACAGTATTACAAAACACACCAATCACATACAATACAAAGACATATGGTTGCAATCATTCAGTTATCAACTGATGTAGTTATACCAAGGTATGATATCAACACCCCATGTATAAACATATCATAGGAATAGGAGTACAAATAAACAAACCTATTTCCAAGCAAATTTATATCAGTAGTTAGCTCCAGAGTAAAGTATAGTATACTAACAACATTGAGTCAATCAGAATTAGGTTAATGCCTCATGTATTGTGTAAAAAATTTACAGTAGTGACAGATAACTAGTGTCTCACATTTAACGAAGTAGAGACTAGCAATAATTAGTTCTTAAAACGCTTGGGATCAATAAAACTTAGTTACGCAACTGAAAAGTGGGTTTTAGATTGTCATTAAGCCACATTATAAAACACAAGGTAGACCGTGTCTTAAATTACCTAATGTTTACTCAAGTGTTTGGTGAGGTTGAGTTTCTCCCTTTCTTAGTCAAAGCATTAACCCTGAGTTCCTAAAATCTGTAAACACAAAGTTGGCAAAGCATTGTATTATAGTTGATGTCAGTTAGTGATGAGAACTCTAATCCCAATTTTTAAAGCTGACTCTAAACCTGTATAGTTACTAATACCTAATTCTGACCTTATTGGGCTATAAGTGATGCCAGTTGGTGACGAATACTACGGAGTGGTAATGATAACTCACAATGCTAGCCTGGTTCCCATTATGTAGACTTGGCCTTCTCTCCTTACCAAAAACGGTAATTTGAACAAAGCTGTTGTTTTATTATTATTCCAATACTTCTCGTTGCTCATCGTTACACAACAAAGCAGTGATTCATGATTGACTGATAAGTCACTCAGGTCAGCAGCAATAAGACTAAGACAAAAATTGTTCAGATATATCGAACAAGAGAAAAACCCACCAAGTAGGTACAGGTTAGACCCGTGACAAATTATGTCATCCTTTTTAAAAATGCACTTACACTCAGTTATATGAGTAATTTAGGGAAGCTCGCAACACAACAAACATCAAGTCAAGTTTAAATTAATCCCTCTTCGTGACCACTCGGTCTCAAGGTCTTATGCAGTTGTTTGCTTTCGTAAAACAGTAAGTTGGACTCAAGCCGTTATTAGGTGTGGACAATGTCACTACAAGTAATCCCCCTCAATACCAGTATAAATCGAGTAAATACTGATAAATTTTGGCAAGAGCCAGGATATGCGCAGGCATTGGATATTGGATTTCAAAAACTGAGATAGGATGCGTGGACTGGATATATAGTCTACATTCTCGATTCAGCCAAATTTGTCGTGACCAGGACTCGTGGTCATCGATTTTTGTTTTAGCCAATAAACTTTGCTTCTCCATGAAATTAAGATCATCAGTTTTTTGATATCGATATAAAGTATTTGATTCTTTAGCCTTGCATATAAGAGCAGATATTTTACTTCGGATTCTACCTCTAGTTTCAATTTTTAGTTGTTCCTCCTATTCGTCAAGCCTTACGCAACGTTTTACAGTTATTCAGAAATAGAAAGCTTCGAATTTAGGATGTCCCGTATATTCAGATTTGGACAACTATGTTATCCTTCACACCTTTCAGATCAATAACATCAAGGGCCAAGTCAATAATCTGTAGGAAATTAGGAGCATGGGAGGTATATTCAAGCGATATTTAGGATGTCAAGGATTGAGTCAACTATGTTTGTTAGCTGGTCTGAGGAGAGGAGCTGCAAGTCATAGGTAACGGTGATCTGATGCGGGTTCGTGACCAAGCACTTTCTGCAAAGATGTGTAGTGGAACTATTTTGTCGAAAAAACACGATTACTGATGTACAAATACTTATTATTGAACATATGTAACGATCGTCTCGTGTAATCATCGATTGTACAAGCTGAACACGTGATATTATTGTAATATCACTCGACTTTCTATTAATAAACGTCGATATCCTATATACAATCTTCTGTTCTGGATTCCTTGTGGGCGTGTAACCTTCACGTCCCAACACTGGTGAGCCAATCGTCTGGAACGCGCTATTAACTTGGATATCTTCGCCACAACACGATCAAACTTGGTGAGTCTGTCAGTTTTCTATCCATTTATCATATTATTTATTCTGTTGCTTAATACTTATATATAATAAACTAGCAACAGCGATTTAATCTTAATTAACAATGGATAGCGCTAAATGTACTGATATGACAGACTCCCAGATCCAGGTCCTTAATTTTCGACCTGTCTCCTTTATTCCCCACGATCCAGAGGTCTGGTTCGCGACACTGGAGAGTCAGTTCGAGATCCGTCGCATAACGAACCAGCGGCTCATGCTTGGCTATGCCCTGGAATCCTTACCTGGGGACCATATAGCGGCTGTCCGTGAGGTCGTCCTCAACCCCAATGCTCCAGATGCCTACAATCGTCTCAAGGAGGCGATTCTCCAGCATTTCCTCCCGTCGAAGGAGGAACGCTTGAGGACTCTTTTAGCACGTCACCCTATGGGTGATGCTAAACCAAGCCACCACCTCACGCGCCTGCAATCACTAGCAGGACCGACAGCGGCTAATTCAGATATAGTCAAGGAGCTGTGGCTCGACTCATTACCAGCCTATGTTCAGCCTACGATCGCCGCCCTGCCCGAAGATATGCCGCTAAGCCAAGTCGCACTAGTGGCAGACAGAGTGATTACACGAACCGGCCATCGAGACAACTATACTGTTGCGTCCACGTCACATACCGGCGTGGGCCTCGAGGCCAAACAGGGTAAAGCTCATAAGGATCAGGGTTGCTGTATACACAGCCGTCTGAGTTTTTCAGACCGTTCCAAGGTACCTGAACCCTACGTCCTGCGAGCACGATCGCGATCACGTAAGGCTGTAAGTACTCGCCCCCAGCGGGCATCTTCCAAGCCACGCCAACGAGCGGCTTCGGAAGCGAGTACCGGTTGGTGCTGGTTCCACCGGACTTTTAGGTCTGCCGCCCGCCATTGTCGACCACCCTGCTCATACAAGGCGGGAAACGCCCAAGCCGGATAGTAAAAGCGACCCTACTCGCCGGCCACTCACCTCAGGTTGCCCGTTTATTTTACGTGCACGATATTCGCACGAACGCTAGGTACCTAGTTGACACCGGTGCCCAAGTTTCTGTCGTACCATTAGGTAGCAGCAAGTTACAACCTACAATAATTCGATTACGCGCTGCGAATGGCACTGTCATTCCTACCTATGGTACACGACAGCTATCGGTCAACCTGAGCAACCGACGACAGTATCTGTGGACGTTCATCATTGCCGATGTTCCCACAGCTATACTCGGTATCGATTTCCTACAGCACTATGAATTGCTAGTCGATTCACGTAGGCTGCAGCTAATCGATACTTCGTCGAACAGCAAATTTATGGGCTTTCGAGCTCATACAAATGCGTACCGAATAACAGGTTTATTTCATTCGCGTGATGATATTTTCCACGCTTTATTCGAAAAATTCCCCCAATTAACTAAACCACTCGAGGAGACTCCATCAGTGACCCGACATGTGGTTCACCACATCGTCACCCGCGGACCACCAGTCACGGCAAAGCCTCGCCGACTGGCACCGGACAAACTAGCTTTCGCTAAACGTGAGTTCGACAATTTACTAGCTACTGGTATTATTCGTCCTACTCACAGTCCATGGGCCTCACCACTCCACATGGTTCGAAAAAAGGATGGGATAAGTTGGCGACCATGTGGCGACTACCGAGCACTAAATGTAGTCACGCGTTTCGATAGTTACCCCATCCCCCACATACACGACATCACCGCATCACTCAAGGGCACGACTATCTATTCCAAGATCGATCTGGTACGGGCATACCATCAGATCCCAGTCGCTCCTGAGGATATTGAGAAAACTGCTGTCACGACTCCTTTCGGTCTGTTTGAGTTCCTACGAATGCCATTTGGATTACGGAATGCTACTCAAACTTTCCAGAGGTTTATCGATAGCATAGTACGAGACTTTGATTTTGTTCACGTCTATATTGATGACTTGTTAATCGCATCATCAAACGTAGATGAACATTATCAACATCTGAAACTCTTATTCCAACGTCTTTCGGATAATGGAATACTAATCAATCCAGATAAGTGCAAACTTGGAAAAGCAGAAATAAAATTTCTGGGTCACGTTATAAAGCATGAGGGTATTTTACCATGTGAAGATAAAGTACGTACAATCATCGAGTACACTGTACCGTCTTCAATCAAAGAACTGAAGGCTTTTCTCGGTTTGGTCAACTTCTATCGACGTTTCATTCCTCACGCCGCGGAACAGTTAGGACCACTAACCGATCTACTTCGCGGGAATCCACGTAAGCTAGAATTGAACGATGACGCACGTACTGCATTTTCCGAAATTAAAAAAGCTTTAGCTCAAGCTACGCTCCTCGCCCATCCCGACCCATCAGCCACGCTCAGTATAGCGGTTGATGCATCCGATTTCGCTATAGGAGCCGTCATGCAACAAAACATCTCTGGAAGTTGGCAACCTCTCGAATTTTTCTCACGACGCCTTACTACCACGGAGATGAGATATAGCGCTTTTGGTCGCGAACTGCTAGCAGCCTACTGTGCCATCAAACATTTTCGGCACACAGTAGAAGGTCGTAACTTTATCCTTTTTACCGACCATAAGCCTCTAACGTATGCTCTTCATACAAAATCTGACCGCTACTCACCACGAGAGTGCAGACATTTGGACTATATCTCTCAGTTCACGACAGACCTTCGTCATATTAAAGGCGAGTCGAACTACGTTGCTGATGCTTTGTCACGTATTCAAATGAATGCAGTTACTTCACCAGTGCTCGATCTTCCTGCTATGGCCGCCGCCCAAGCAAACGATCCTTCTTGTTCAGAAGCACAACAAAATACATCCCTTCAGTGTCAGGAAGTGCCCCTAGCTACTACCTCAGGCACTATCCTATGTGATACCTCTGATGGTCTTCCTCGACCCATCGTACCCTCTGCTTATCGTCTTCGATGCCCTTCATGGTTTGTCTCATCCAGGTATCGCAGCTACATTACGTCTCATCGCTGCACGATACGTCTGGCCTTCCATGAACAAAGATGTCCGTATGTGGGTAAAGCAATGCTTACAATGTCAACGATCAAAAGTGCACAGGCACGTAGCCGCCCCCATCGGCACATTTGCTACGCCTGATGCTCGCTTCGATCACGTTCATATTGACATTGTAGGACCATTACCACCATCGCATGGGTATGATCACATACTCACGTGCATTGATCGCTTTACAAGATGGCCCGAAGCTATTCCCATCACTTCTATTACGGCGGAAACAGTTGCTCACCGCTTCGTAGAACGATGGATAGCTCTGTACGGTTGTCCCTCGACTGTCACAACTGACCGAGGACAACAATTCGAGTCCGAACTATTCTCCTCGCTAACTCGGCTGCTTGGTACGGAGCGCATACGCACTACCGCCTACCACCCAGCTTCAAACGGTTTAGTCGAAAGGTTTCATCGCCAACTCAAAAACGCTCTTCGAGCACACGAAAACAATAATTGGTACGAAACCTTACCGCTCGTCCTTCTAGGCATCAGAACGAGCTTAAAGGCAGATATTCAATGTTCCGCTGCTGAATTGGTATACGGCACGACATTGCGTCTGCCTGGGGAATTTTTCACACCACGGAGCAGTGATAACTTCAATAAATCAGACTACGTCCAACGACTGTCTGCATTTATGCGAGCACTGCCTCCGGTGTCAACTCGAGTACAACATCGACAGGTCGCTCTCCCCCGAGAGTTATCTACCTGCTCACATGTTTTCATTCGAGTTGATTCGGTACGCAAACCTTTGCAACAACCTTACGAAGGACCTTTTCACGTGATTTCTCGTCACGAAAAGACCTTCAAGGTTGCTCGACATGGCCGCGTCGAGATAGTCAGCATTGATCGTCTCAAGCCAGCACACGTCGATGACAGTGCCCTACTTGCTAATCCGAGACCCAATGCTAGACCTAGCGGGATCCTCAAAACTACCCCGGATCCCACGCTAGCGAAATCAGAAACCTCATTCTCACGTCCCAGTCAGCAGCACGCGCCATCTGCACTATCTACGGATGAGACTCCGGTCTCACGTCCAGATCAGCAGACCACGCCGCACTTGACTGCGGATGAGAATGCAGGCTCACAAGGTACGCACGAGGCTACTGTCTCGCGTTCCGGTCGCCGCGTACGCCTACCTGTACGCTTTCTCGAATAACTACCAATCCTTCACAGGGGCGGCATAGGATTTTACCATCATACTACACGAATGCTACACTCTTTCTCCTTTTTCTTTGATTTTTTTTATCCCGAGCCTATACTCCCGACCATTGTCCTGTTGGTACCGTCGACTTCAGTCAACCTTGGCGAAAGCTGTCCTGATCACCCACGCTCTAGTCAATGCACTCAGTCGATCTTTTGGCTACGAATATATCTGGTATACGAATAGTTTCGCACTGGTCGTTTCTGGCTCCTTCGCTCAATCTGGTTCCGTCCTACGTCTGCAGCTTTATTTGGTCCGGACCCCTACGAATGCAATCATCAGACACTGGATACGAGCCACGCTGGTGTGGTATGCTAATCCGATGGAAGAACTTGGCGCGTAATTATTGGCACGGCAGCGGACAAACTCCCGGTGACAACTCGAGCTTCATCAGTCGCTTCCTGTCGTCAACCATTCAGCCCGTCAACCGAATATTGGCCGACGAGTCCCCTGAACGAAGCCGCTACATATCGAAAGTGTAAAACCCTTTCTAGGGGGGCTACTGTAGTGGAACTATTTTGTCGAAAAAATACGATTACTGATGTACAAATACTTATTATTGAACATATGTAACATCAACTGTTTAATTGTATACCATTTGTTTATTTGTACTGAAAGTCACTTTTCGAGCGCCACCCACGCCACCCCTGCGGATCTAACGATCGTCTCGTGTAATCATCGATTGTACAAGCTGAACACGTGATATTATTGTAATATCACTCGACTTTCTATCAATAAACGTCGATATCCTATATACAATCTTCTGTTCTGGATTCCTTGTGGGCGTGTAACCTTCACGTCCCAGCAGATGGGTCCTGTAAAACTAATCAGGTCAGTTTCATTGTTTAAAACTAACAGAGCTATTTATTCTGGTGATTTACTTACCGCTAAAAGATTACTAAAATGAAATTTTCATCGACGATTTAGTTTTTTCCAGTTGCATCCGTCTTTCAGGCGGACAGAAAACTGCTCTGTGAAGCTGGATGCCTCACAAATATATTTACTCAAGAGGATAATCTTCTTTAATTTATGTGTTTTATATGATGAAGAATTAGAACAGATAAATAGCTTTAAACAAATAATTAGCTTATATTCCAGAAACATAATATGTTTTATGTGCGAAATTCAAACATCACCTATCACCATCTAAAGAATTTCAATTTCTTACTGTTCAAAACGTTTAAAATGACGAAAAAACATTCCTGTTCGCACCAGCAGTCATTTCTAGTTCTGAGAGTGTGCTTCCATTACCAATCGAAAAAATGCACAAAAGCAGTCAGTATACAATGGTGTAAGTATAAGGATTTTCGTATTCAGTAACTCCAAACTTCAGAAAGCAGTCTTACAACGAGGTGTGAACGTTTTATCATTTGGCATCAAATGAACACTGTGTATTACTTAGCTGACCATTGCCAGACCGTCGCAATGACCCAACAACGAGGTCACTGGCTGGAACATATGTTCATGTACAGTTCACGAAACGTTATGCCTGGTTTCCATAAACCCCATTTAAAACGTCATATCAGGGTTTTTAACGTCCAGAATCATGCCCAAAATCATTAGCGATGGTGCAGGTTCATCCACATGTTGTGTTCTCTCGAACTCTAACCAGAATTCCTCCTCATTTCTATCTCTCTCTCTCTTAAATTATATCCTTGGATTATACTTCCCGAATCATATTTTCGAACCCTGACTAAATTTGAGTTATATTGTTAGGTCTAGTGAGCAAAACTTAAAAACAGATGTGATACATCTTAGAAGAAATTACTATAACTTCACTGGAGGGAAACTAAAAATGTGGCGTGGTTCGGACATGAAAGGGACTATAGTATCTGAGTTAAATGCAGATATGCCAATTTGTGCAAGTAGCTACTGTATTGGGAGGTATAAAAACGCTTCTCCTCCATTCACCACGAGAGTTATCGGAGGACGGCCGTTCCACGTTCGTAAACATCTGATGATGGAGTTTGCGTATATTCCGGTGAATATATGTTCAGAGAACATTAGACTGTGAAAATAATAAACTCTGATGTCAGGTAGTCATATGAATTTGAGCTATACGTTCTTGTTATATGTTTACTTTATAACAACAGAAGTGTTCCCGATAAATAACCGGCCACATGACATTCAAGTCTACGGGACTCAGGTAGGCTTTACCTGTGTTGAAGAATGTGCACATGCCGTTGTTGTAGATCATAAAAAGTGAAGGACTCAAAGTAGAATACTTTTTCGAAGGCTTTGGGAAAATCCCTCCATGTGTACATTTGTAATATGTGTTAGGTTTTGAAGTGGATTATGCATTCGGAAGAACAGTTCTATAGGTTTAGATACTCTCCCTTCCCACTTAATCCAGAAATAAAGCAATTAATCTGGGTAAGAAACGATTCTAGTATTAATTAAAAGGTACATATAGTTATCTAAACAATATAACACTGCTCTTCTTTAAATTTAACACAATGTGTTTGCAATTCTGGAAGAATGCTTCTTTTTAGGTCCAAAATTTCACCCTTCCAGTCCAGAAGTTCGTTTCATCCACTAGGATATCCGATTAAAACAGCATAATAATCCTGGCTCTTGCCAAAATTTATCAGTATTTACTCGATTTATACTGGTATTGAGGGGGATTACTTGTAGTGACATTGTCCACACCTAATAACGGCTTGAGTCCAACTTACTGTTTTACGAAAGCAAACAACTGCATAAGACCTTGAGACCGAGTGGTCACGAAGAGGGATTAATTTAAACTTGACTTGATGTTTGTTGTGTTGCGAGCTTCCCTAAATTACTCATATAACTGAGTGTAAGTGCATTTTTAAAAAGGATGACATAATTTGTCACGGGTCTAACCTGTACCTACTTGGTGGGTTTTTCTCTTGTTCGATATATCTGAACAATTTTTGTCTTAGTCTTATTGCTGCTGACCTGAGTGACTTATCAGTCAATCATGAATCACTGCTTTGTTGTGTAACGATGAGCAACGAGAAGTATTGGAATAATAATAAAACAACAGCTTTGTTCAAATTACCGTTTTTGGTAAGGAGAGAAGGCCAAGTCTACATAATGGGAACCAGGCTAGCATTGTGAGTTATCATTACCACTCCGTAGTATTCGTCACCAACTGGCATCACTTATAGCCCAATAAGGTCAGAATTAGGTATTAGTAACTATACAGGTTTAGAGTCAGCTTTAAAAATTGGGATTAGAGTTCTCATCACTAACTGACATCAACTATAATACAATGCTTTGCCAACTTTGTGTTTACAGATTTTAGGAACTCAGGGTTAATGCTTTGACTAAGAAAGGGAGAAACTCAACCTCACCAAACACTTGAGTAAACATTAGGTAATTTAAGACACGGTCTACCTTGTGTTTTATAATGTGGCTTAATGACAATCTAAAACCCACTTTTCAGTTGCGTAACTAAGTTTTATTGATCCCAAGCGTTTTAAGAACTAATTATTGCTAGTCTCTACTTCGTTAAATGTGAGACACTAGTTATCTGTCACTACTGTAAATTTTTTACACAATACATGAGGCATTAACCTAATTCTGATTGACTCAATGTTGTTAGTATACTATACTTTACTCTGGAGCTAACTACTGATATAAATTTGCTTGGAAATAGGTTTGTTTATTTGTACTCCTATTCCTATGATATGTTTATACATGGGGTGTTGATATCATACCTTGGTATAACTACATCAGTTGATAACTGAATGATTGCAACCATATGTCTTTGTATTGTATGTGATTGGTGTGTTTTGTAATACTGTTTTCGACCACCTGTTTAGCGAGATGTTAGTAATCGATGGTTAGAAACTTTGAATGACATGCCTCAAAGTCATTTTTAATGGTGCAGATTCATCCATTCTTTTTGTCCTCTCAAATTCTAATATTCTGAATTCCTCACGACCGTTTTCGCTCTTTTTTTTCTCATCGATTCCTCGGGTTTATACTTCTTGAATAATATCTTCCATCAATAGTCTGTTTGATTACCGTCATTCTTCTACTATTTGTGAATGGTCTATCTGTTGTACTGTTCTATCTAGAGGGACCTGTTACCGAAGACAATTAGTACATCATTTGTTAAAGATACTCTGATTCTCTGCATTACGTCCACTATATTTTCTTTTATATTTGATCATCAACCACTGGGTTACTTTCTCAGACTTCGCCAATAGAAATGCTTGTCACTAGCCATCATAGTGTGACTGCTTCTTTTTATTTCAATACATGTATGCCTCTTTATTTCACCCGACAGTATAAGTTAACCGGCTAAGTCAGTCGCTTAAGTGTTAGTGATTTTCTAACCTAATCATGGTTTTAATAAATTTAATTCTTTAAATTTCTTTTTTTTTCAGATATTCCCATCATGATTGAAAGCAAAGTCCGAAGCTTGGAGTATATTTTTGAATTTCCCCAAATCACTGACCTATTTGATATTTCTGATCGACAAGGTCAGGGTACTTTTGCCTCTGTCTTAGCAGTTAAAAATAAACAAGATCCTGATGATTGCAAATATTATGCTTTGAAAATGATTATCCCAACAGTTGATGTGCGTAGAATTGAAAATGAAATTCGTATTTTACGAAGATTAGGGTAGTTTTATATAAAATTTATTTTTGTTTTTACAACACAATTTTAGTGGTAAACATAATGTCATTCAAATGCATACAGCAATGCGAATTCGTGATCATGTATTTATCTTAATGCCTTTCATTGATTACATTCCTTTTACAGTAAGTAGGCTAAAGAATATTTGTTTGTTATGCGCGCTTCATTTTCTTTTTCTTTTCTTTTCTTGTAAGGACTATTATCTAACTGCTGATGAAAAAGAAATCCGACGATATATGCGTGCACTTTTGTCAGCTTTAGCCCATGTACATAAATATAAAATCATTCATCGTGATGTAAAACCTACCAATTTTCTTATGGATCAAAAAACAAAACAGTAATAATGTTTTTCCTTTTTCTTTAACGCTGGCGCATTATATAACTTAGATTTTTTCTTGTAGATTTTGGATTGGCTCATTCTGAAGAGTTCGGTGATATTGATGAAAGATGGGAGCGTAAATTTGAAACTACCTCTGATGCAGATATAAAGAAAAATAAATTCATGAAAAGAATTTCAGATTTTCCTCGGGTACGGAATACAAATCTCTTTTTTTTTGTTTTAAGTATTTATTTTGAAATTTCAAACACAATCTTTTTTTTTAAACAGAAAATTAAATACTAACCAGTTCTTGTGTCATAGTAATTGAATTGGTTAGTTATTTCAAAATATTTCTAAGCTAGTCAGTGTTGGTCTTGAAGACGTGGGAGCGTGACTGCAGAGTCCAAGGGATAACTGCTTGAGGCTGGTCACGCACGGTCTTTTTATGAAAGGATTTTTGAGTATTAGCTCCGCTCTTGAAAGCCCTTAATGGGCACCCTTACCCAAGGAGACGGAAATCCATGAGGTCGGGTGAGGTGTGACATTTTTAGGGTCGACCTTTTCTAACCCTTCGTTCCTTGTGAGAAGGCAGCATCGCTGCAGATGCTGGTTGTCCGAGGGAAACACCAACACAAAAAATAAATGCACCTGCGCCTTTGCTAACGGTTTTGAGCCATGTCATTCAAGGTCTCTAACCAATGGTGACTTTTGTCTTGCGGACCCTAACCAAGTAGCCTACATCTACTAACATGACTCATTTCACTTGTCAGTGACTTCATGGATTTCTGCCATGTTTTGGTTTATCCGCCCCTACCTTTCTCCCAACTTACTCCTACGCCAAAAAAACATTCACTGTTTGAAATTTGTAATTCCATTGAAACAATACCCTTCCATTTATAAATTATTATAGTTCATACTTGCAAAACTTTCGCCAACATCGACTATTATACTATACAACACGACTTCATTTCTTGATTGTCTTCTCTTAAACTACTCGATGAATTATTTACTTAATAATTACAATTGTATTACTCTAGAAAAATGATATCGTCGAAAAAAGTCTTTTTTTTTAATGAATCAGTGATCTTCTTTTATTTTCCAAATCTCATTTTCTAGACAAATCCTAACATACATGACAATAGTCAACGTGTAAATATAACAACAGACAAAGAAAAATCTTTTACATATAAACAAGATTTTATAAATTGTACAAATCCCCTATTCAATTATAAATGTAATAATTCATCAAAACTAGATAATTTATCATCTTATAAAACTACATCCATGAAATCAACTAATTTAACACAAACTCTAGGACAAGGTGGATGTGTTTGTGGTTCACGTCTCACTGTATGTCGTAATTGTCGTCATTTGCCTAGAGCACCAACTGTACGTAGAGGTGGTACACTTGGTTTTAGACCACCGGAAGTAATGATGCGTCATATTGAACAAACAACTGCTGTTGATCTATGGGCTGTCGGGATTATATTCATTTCATTTCTATCTGGTCGTTATCCTTTTATTAAAGTTGATGATGATTTAGATGTTTTACATGCATTCACACATCTTATTGGTTATGAACGTATGCAAAATGGGGCAAAAAGTATCGGTAGGAGATTATTACTTGAACCAAGACCACCACCAATGGAAGTGAATGATACACCTGTTGGTTGGCTTAAAACAAGGTAACAAAAAAATTGTATATCATTCATTTCATCTTGTAATCTTTTCTTTTACATTCTCATGTGTATTTATTGTATAAATTTTAATAGGAATACTTATTTATCACATTTTCTTTATAATCCTATAATAGATTATACTATATTTTTAGCGTTCAAGTGGATGAATGAAGCAGGAATAACTACTTAGTCTACCGAATCACATATCTGTATCACAAACTAATCAATGTTGGGTCACCATTGGAAACCTGGATGCACTAGACGGTCGTTTCGTCTTAGTATTCGACTCCTCAGGAATGCGCATCCACGATCTCGCGAGTAGGAAGTGAACCCAGTATCTTGGGCCTCACGCGACTGATTTGGATGCTGACTTAGTGATCAAAAGGTCAAGCATTCGCACTCGAGGTCGTGGACATGCAGTTCATAGGAGTCCCATACTAGGAAAAAATGACTTTCCAGTGGTTTCAAGTCTACAATATTCATCTAATATTGACCGATTCATGATGATTCATGAACAATCTGCACAACCATATATTGACATTTATCTGTATAACTGACGATACACAGTTATTTCTATATCACTTCAGCATAGTACTTATTCTCCGTTATTTACATGTGTGTAGATGTAAGGATTGATATTTTAAAGAAATATAATAATTTTTATGTACAGTTTGGTAGTAGGAAATAACACCTTGAAAATTATATGGTTTTTGGAAAAACTAAAAGCTCTGAAGGATAATCTTAAGTATGTATCATAACTAGTGAGAAAATTCAAAAGACTGGTTTCCTCCTACTCGGAATACTTTAATTAAATCTGTTAACAATTTTTTAAAGTGATAGATATCGAATTCATTGTGGATTAGTTTCATACTAACTCGTAGCACGGATCTATGTGTCCTCTTCCCCTCCTTGACAAATGATTATTCATTTTATTCAACTACCATTTTATTTATGATGAACTCGTAGAATTAAAAAGAAAATTTAAGATAAATCTTCTGTAACTACTTCAAATATGTAGATATTTTCATTCTTTACATTATTTATACGACTATTCTTTGCAGTCAGTCAGTCAGTTACAACGTAGAACTTCGTACGTACGTTCAGGCTGCCATACCACATCAACACAGAAACGGAATTTTCAGTATAAATCCCATAGTAGTTGAGGTAGTAGAAGTATTAGCTGTAATCGGAGAGATTAGGGTTCGAAGATATTATTCAAGAAGTACAATTCAGGGAAATAAATTTAGAAAAAGAAAGATAGAGATGATGAGTAATTCGGGTGGTTAGAATTTGAGAGAACACAAAGAGTAGATGCGTCTACGTCATTGGAAATGATTTTGAGCCATGTCGTTCAAAGTCTCTAACCATCGGTGACTTTCGTCTCGCCGACCCCAACCAGGTAGCCTACATTTACCAACATGACACAGTTCACTTATCAATGACTTCATGGATTAAATCGCAGTGCGTCGACTGGTAATCAAACCCGGTTACTGTTTTCGCTGTATATATCAAAGCGTAAATTTTAATATTTTTAGTATAATAAGGTCTAGATTAATTTAGTTGATAGTCAAATTCATCTTTCTCACACTTGTCTATCATACAATCTAAATTGGATTTGTGATTTGTTAAAGTGAATGTTTAATTATAGATCATCTAATGTTACTACTTTTGATCCTATTCAAAATATTTTAACCTTTAATGATAAATGTCATTATCATACACTGTTACAGACAACTACTACATGAACTTGTATCCATTTAAAGAAGTACATTAACCTTATACAAACCCTTTACTCGAACACCACTGGTCGAGTGAGGGCTTATGACGAACTGTCACTGGAATTCTCTACATCAAGTGGTGTCCGTCAGGGATGTCCACTTTCTCCATTTTTGTTTAATTTTATCATAGACATGCTCCTAGAAATAACCTTATCCTCGTCTGAATTTTCTGGAGTAGACGTTCTACCAGGTGGCTCGCTTATTGACTTAGAACATGCCGATGACATAGTCCTACTTGGTGAAGACACTGACAATATGCAGAGTCTTCTGACTACCCTAAGCAACAATGCAAGCATGTTCGGGATGCGGTTTTCCCCCTCGAAATGCAAAATGTTGCTTCAAGACTGGGTTGCATCGGCACCTGAACTAGTGATAGGGAGTGAAGTAGTCGAACGTGTAGACCGCTTCACTTATCTTGGGAGTCTGATCAGTGCCGATGGCCTGGTGACTGACGAAATCTCAGCTCGGATACAGAAGGCTCGATTGGCTTTTGCCAAGCTGCGTCACTTATGGCGTAGGCGTGATATCCGTTCTCTAATCAAAGGACGAGTGTACTGTGCAGCAGTTCGCTCCGTTCTCCTATATGGCTGTGATACATGGCCAGTGAGAGTAGAAGATATTCGTCGGTTACTGGTTTTCGATCATAGGTGTCTTCGAAGCATTGCTCGTATACCGTGGGACAACCGAGTAAGCAATGCTGTCGTTAGGAAACGAGTACTAGGTAAGGATCGCAGATCAATCGATGAAGTGGTGAAACTTAATCAGTTGAAGTGGTTGGGACATGTGTTGCGTATGCCGAACCACCCCCGACCGTAGCTGCTACCTTGACGTGGTGGTCGGGCTTGCCTATCGTGATGACCCAACCTAGCTATACTGGCTGGAACATATGTTCCTCAAGGTTCTACCATGCCAGGCAGGTCGATTGGAGAACGATGAGACTAAAAGCAGCTACCCAAGGTCTGAGGGCGAAGTCGTACTGCTGACTGCCGAGGGGTGTGACAGCAGTAAGGTGTTTCCCTCGGACAACCAGCATCTGCAGCGATGCTGCCTTCTCACAAGGAAGGAAGGGTTAGAAAAGGTCGGCCCTAAAAATGTCACACCTCCCCTAACTCACGGATTTCCGTCTCCTTGGGTAAGGGTGCCCACTAAGGGCCTTTAAGAACGGAGCTAATCCTCAAAAAACATTTGATAAAAAGGCCATGCGTGACTGGCCCCAAGCAGTTGTCCCTTGGGCTCTGCGGTCACGCACCAACACTAATCTATCTTCCTTTTCAGGTTCCTCAAGAAACAACCTTCCACGGTGTGGGCAGCCGGGAAGTGACAACCGCCCTCATACCCATAACAGCACGCGAGACCACATTGGTCAAAATCAAATCCTTCCTACACCCCCTAGTACCTCTCTTATCTCCACGACTAAATCTTCTCACATTCATTCATCACAGTGCACAGCTAATGCAGACGATACGAGTTCGCGAAACGTCGTTCCTGGTCTCCTTAGACCTCGCTCTAGACTACATGTTGGAGCATTTAATGTACGGACATTGTGTCAAATAGGGCAACAGGCTTCCTTAGCTAGGACTTTAGAATCTCGTGCCATCGATGTATGCTGCGTCTCGGAAACGCGCATACAGGATCCGAGTCACGTCATACACTTGACCACACCATGTCAAAATAAAGAAGCAGCTCGATTTACTCTTCGTGTATCCGGTAGCCCAGATGCTGCTTCCAGGGGTCTTGCTGGCGTAGGCATAGCATTGAGTCGTAGGGCAGAATTATCTCTCCTTGACTGGATCCCAGTAGATAGTCGATTGTGCGCTGTCCGACTAAACGGGACAGTAAGGACTCGGAAAGATAGGGACAATCGCCGTTGCCTCTTCGTCGTATCTGCCTATGCCCCCACTGAATGCAGTTCAGACGAGGTTAAGGATGAGTTTTACAGAAAGCTTTCGGACCTCCTCCAAAAAGCTAGGCGCTCTGATATAGTAATAATGGCTGGTGACTTTAATGCTCAAGTAGGTAGACTAAGTGAGCAGGAGAGACACCTAGGTGGATGTTATGGTGTCCCGGCTCAGAGAACAGACAATGGTGACCGTCTGTTGCAAATATGCTCAGACAACCGCCTATTCTTAGCAAACACTAACTTTAGGCATAAGGAAAAGCATCTGTTGACCTGGCGACCTCCAAAGTCGTCTCAACGTTGGACTCAACTAGATCACATTGCCATCAGCCACCGATGGAGGGGTTCGATAGAAGACTGCCGCTCGTTCTGGAGCACATGTCTAGATTCAGATCATGCCCTAGTGCGAGCGCGTATTTGTTTGAAGCTTACTGGGCGTAGGAAAGACACCGTAAGAAAGCCTCTTAGGGTTTTACTTAATGATAATAAGGCGAAAAATATATTTCAGGAACAACTAGAAAGACAGTTAGGCGGCCAATTAAGCGATTCCCATCCGGAAGCAGGATGGAATGATATCAAAAAGGCTGTGGAAACAGCAGTGATATCTGCTAGTAAGGTTGACCATGAGGCTAGAATGAAACCGTGGATCTCAGTAGCATCCACCGATCTGATGGATGCCCGAAAACTCATCCCACCTGGCTCTGAACATGATGAAGAACGAAGTCAACTTAGGCGCAGACTTATAAAAAGCCTACGTAACGATCGCGAACAGTGGTGGGTGGCGAAAGCAAAAGCGATGGAAAAGGCGGTGGCGATAGGCAACAGTAGGCAACTTTTCCGACTTATCAAGGAAACTGGTATTAGGAATCCTAGTGTAAGCGAGACTATCTCAGAAAATGACGGGACTATTATTTATTCTCAATCCAGGAGACTGGATCGATGGGCAGAACACTTTAGGGATCAGTTCAACTGGCCTCGAGCCCCTCTTCGGTTACCCACGATCTCCAGTCATCCTGAATGGCAAATCGACGTAAGTCCCCCTAGTCTTAATGAAGTTGAAAAAGCTTTAGGAAATCTGAAGCGAGGACGAGCTGCAGGTCCTGATAGACTGACCCCTGAGATATTTAAGGATGGTGGTCCAGTTTTAGCAGCTAGGTTGACTGAGATCTTAGGTAGAATCTGGGAACTGGACGTAATCCCATCCGACTGGTCCCAATCACTGATTGTCCCAATCTATAAGAAAGGACAGAAGTCTTCTTGTGACAATCACAGAGGAATAAGTCTAACTAATATAGTATCTAAAATATTGGCCTCAATAATACTTCGACGCTTAACGAAAGCTCGTGAAGAGCAAACTCGAGAAAACCAGGCTGGTTTTCGACCTGGACGTGGCTGTATAGACCACATTTTCACACTACGACAGGTCTTGGAACACAGACACACATTTAGGCGTCCTACAATAGTTGTTTTCCTGGACCTTAAGGCGGCATTTGACTCAGTGGATCGTGAGGTTCTGTGGCAGTGTCTGTCATTGAAAGGTGTACCAAATAAGTACATTAACCTCATACAAGCTCTCTACTCAAACACCACTGGTCGAGTGAGAGCTTATGGCGAAGTGTCACCGGAATTCTCTACTTCAAGTGGTGTCCGTCAGGGATGTCCACTCTCTCCATTCTTGTTTAATTTTTTCATAGACATGCTCCTAGAGTTAACATTATCCTCGTCTGAATTTTCAGGAGTAGACCTTCTACCAGGTGGCTCGCTTATTGACTTAGAATATGCCGATGACATAGTCCTACTTGGTGAAGACGCTGAAAAAATGCAGAGTCTTCTGACTACCCTAAGCAACAATGCAAGCATGTTCGGGATGCGGTTTTCCCCCTCGAAATGCAAAATGTTGCTTCAAGATTGGGTTGCAACGGCACCTGAACTAGTGATAGGGAGTGAAGTAGTCGAACGTGTAGACCGCTTCACTTATCTCGGGAGTCTGATCAGTGCCGATGGCCTGGTGACTGACGAAATCTCGGCACGGATACAGAAGGCTCGATTGGCTTTTGCCAAGCTGCGTCACTTCTGGCGTAGGCGAGATATCCGTCTGCTGACTAAAGGACGAGTGTACTGCGCAGTGGTTCGCTCCGTCTTACTTTATGGCTGTGAAACATGGCCAATGAGAGTAGAAGATACTCGTCGGTTATTGGTTTTCGATCATAGGTGTCTTCGAAGCATTGCTCGTATATCGTGGGACAACCGAGTGAGCAACGCTGTTATTAGGAAACGGGTACTAGGTAAGAATGGCAGACCAATCGATGAAGTGGTGAAACTTAATCAGTTGAAGTGGTTGGGACATGTGTTGCGTATGCCTAACCAGCGACTCCCTCGTCGAGCTTTGTTTTGTAGTGTAGGAATAGGTTGGAAGAAAGCTAGGGGCGGCCAGACCAAAACATGGCAGAAATCCGTGAAGTCATTGACTAGTGGACTTAGCCATGTCGGTAATTGTCGACTACCTGGTTGGGGTCCACGAGATGATAATAATCGATGGCTAGAGACCTTGAATGACATGGCTCAAAATCGTTCGCAATGGCGCCAGTGCATTTATTCTTTGTGTTCTCTCAAACCCTAATCTTCTGGATTCTTCAACACCTCTTGTTTTGACTTTCTAAACTTATCTCACTGAATCATACTTCTTGAATAATATCTTCTAATCCTAACCTCTCCGATTACTTCTAATTCCCTTACTACCTCTACTACTATTGGATTTGAATTGATAATTATATCTCTGTGTGCTGATGTGGTATGGCGACATGAACTGATGTACTTACGTACGAAGTTCTACGTTGCATCTGACTGACTGACTGACTGCCGAACCACCGACTGCCTCGACGAACGTTGTTTTGTAGTGTAGGAATAGGTTGGAAGAAAGTTAGGGGCGGCCAGAACAAAACATGGCATAAATCCATGAAGTCATTGACTAGTGGTCTCAGCCATGTCGGTAATTGTCGACTACCTGGTTGGGGTCCGCGAGATGATAATGATCGATGGTTAGAGACCTTGAATGACATGGCTCAAAATCGTTCGCAATGGCGCCGGTGCATTTATTCTTTGTGTTCTCTCAAACCCTAATCTTCTGGATTCTTCAACACCTCTTGTTTTGACTTTCTAAACTTATCTCACTGAATCATACTTCTTGAATAATATCTTCTAATCCTAACCTCTCCGATTACTTCTAATTCCCTTACTACCTCTACTACTATTGGATTTGAATTGATAATTATATCTCTGTGTGCTGATGTGGTATGGCGACATGAACTGATGTACTTACGTACGAAGTTCTACGTTGCATCTGACTGACTGACTGACTGCCGAACCACCGACTGCCTCGACGAACGTTGTTTTGTAGTGTAGGAATAGGTTGGAAGAAAGTTAGGGGCGGCCAGAACAAAACATGGCATAAATCCATGAAGTCATTGACTAGTGGTCTCAGCCATGTCGGTAATTGTCGACTACCTGGTTGGGGTCCGCGAGATGATAATGATCGATGGTTAGAGACCTTGAATGACATGGCTCAAAATCGTTCGCAATGGCGCCGGTGCATTTATTCTTTGTGTTCTCTCAAACCCTAATCTTCTGGATTGTTCAACACCTCTTGTTTTGACTTTCTAAACTTATCTCACTGAATCATACTTCTTGAATAATATCTTCTAATCCTAACCTCTCCGATTACTTCTAATTCCCTTACTACCTCTACTACTATTGGATTTGAATTGATAATTATATCTCTGTGTGCTGATGTGGTATGGCGACATGAACTGATGTACTTACGTACGAAGTTCTACGTTGCATCTGACTGACTGACTTGTATTTATTTGGCATTATCTAACAAAGCAGATATTTGAATCACTCCGAGGTTCAATAGAATAGATCAGTTAATCAAACAATGTTGGAGCTTATTCCAATTAAAGACATTTGTGATCCATTCTGAACAATATATTAATGAAGACAAGGTTTGGAGGAACAGTATCAGATTATCAAACCTTAATGACCCTTGTTGTAGTCCTGAGTGATATATATCAAAAACATAGAGTTTTCGATTAGCGATCGGTTTTATCAGTGCATTGAGAGAGATAACTAGAGGTTTTCGTTGAAATGACCTATAGCTATTTTCAGTATTCATATTATCATTATAGAGTTGCGGGGATTGTTAAGTTTCATGAAAATATTGAATCGGCCGATGTTAAACCACTATTGGAAACCTGGAAGCACTGGACGGTTGTTTCATCCCAGTATGAGATTCATCAGCGGTGGTGCGCACTCACGACTTCGCAGTCGAGAATCAAACCCAGGACTCATGGTCTCGCGCATGAACGCGTAACCTCTTGACCATTGAGTCGGAGTCCAACGGTGCTAATGTCTAATTTCGTCCTGGTATGGGACTTATCAGCAGTACGCATCCACGACCCCTGGTGTTTGCAGTGTCCGAACTCAGGACCTAGCGCGAACGCCCTACCTCTGGCCCATTGGGCAACCGGCATCTCATGGTGTTAATGTCTAACTCGGATCGATCAAAGGGATTTTTCATGACCTCACCCATTCATATTCGGTAGTCAGTGCCCACAGCCGACAGGGTTGAACTCCACTGGCCAAGGCCGAAGGTCCAGGATTCTGATTCTGTGAGTAGCAGGAGTCGTGGATGCTCACTGCTGATGAGTCTCATACCAGGACGAAACGACCATCCAGTGGTTCCAGGTTTCTAATAGTGGTGTAACAATGATTGATTCATGATTTCAGTAATAAACTACACTCTTCATAATTATATAATTAATTATTAATTATCCTTTTTATTTTATTTTAATTTTATATTTTCCAGATGTTCTGCAATTAGACTATATGAGAAAAAATTTGCTGGTCTACCTCCTTTATTACGTAAAAAATCAATGACCAAATCAACTAACCAATTAACCAATGATCATTCTATACAAACAACTGAATTATTATCGAATAATACTACTAATATGAATACTACTAATACTACTAATACTAATAATAATGATAAAAAACCATTGATTGCTTTATCCGCCACGCATATATTTCCTACATCAGCATATGATTTACTAACTCGCCTATTAGAACCATGTCCATATAAACGAATCACTGCACACGATGCTTTACGTCATCCATATTTTTGTAATGATGTTAATAAAACTGCTCGACATTCTAGTATTATGATACCATCAATGAAATATTCCACCAATAGTAATAGTAGTAGTAGTAGTAATGGTCAATCAGATTTATCATTACTACCAATACAACATAGAAGAAATGTATCACGATCAAGTTTATGTGAAACACCGTCGAATTTTATACCGAGACCACAATTTTGTTAATGAGAGATTGAGAAACAAGATTTATTATAGCAGATTATTTTTGTATGTGAATTTAATCTTGATAATTTATGTGAAGTTTTCTGTGCTTTTATTATTGTTATTCTATGATGAAATTGTCTGTTCAATAGATCTCCTGGTGAATTGACTAATCGCAGTCATGCAAAATCTGAACAGAGCTTGTAAGTTAAAACAAATAAAGCTAGGAGCGGTCGCACCTAGCTTTCTTTCAACCTATTCCTACATCACAAAACATCGCTTGACGAGGCAGTAGTCGACAGTTGGGCATACGTAACACATGTCCCAGCCACTTCAACTGATGAAGTTTCAATACTTCATTTATTGATTTGCCGTCCCTACCTAGTACTTGTTTCTTAAAGACAGCATTGCTTACTCGGTTATTGCAGGATACACAAGTAAAGCTTCGGAAGCATAATATAATCGAATATTAATAAGCTATGAATATCCTCAATTCTTACCGGCCATGTGTTTCATAGCCATAAAGTAGGGAGGAGCGAACTTGCTGCACAATAAACTCGTCCTATGGTATAGGTGACTCAAGTCGGCAAAAGTCAATCAAGCCTTTGTATCCGTGCTGAGATTTCATCAGTCACCAGACCATCAGAACTGACGAGACTCGTGAGATAAGTGAACCGGTCAACACACTCAACTGCTTCGCTTCGTATCACTAGTTCAGGTACCGATGCAGGCTAATCCTGAGGCAAAGTTCTGCCTTTTGGCTGGGAGAATCATCGCATCCCGAACACGCATGGATCATACCCCTTGAATAATATCTTCGAACCCTAATCTTTCCGATTACTGTTCAAACGTTTACTACATCAAGCGCTGTGATTTGAATTGATAATTCGATTTATGTGCTAATGTAGTTTGGCAACTTGAACTGATGTACGTAGATACGAATTTCTACTGTTAAAATACATAATTCACGTGTAAATTAGCTTTGCCAATATCTTAGTAATGTTATTTTCACTTTTTTTGTGTTATTTAAACACATAAGCATTGGTACAAAGAAAGTGTCTGAATATTTAGGCTCCACACAATATTGAATTCTAGAGTGAGCTAAGATAAACTGCCTGAGTTCCCAAACCGAAGTAAGTGATTTTCTTAGGGGGCCAAACCCTGAGACTTTGAACCAAAAGTCTAATCCACAAGTCGATGGATCAACGTAAGGAAATTCAATCCACTGGTAGCCCGTGATCAACAGGAGGCTGGTACGCTGTTTGTTCCATCAGGAACCCGAGGACCCATGTGCACCAATTGTTTGGAATGACGGTTCTCCAACTCCCCTGCGTAGATATTCCGTACCCACTAATCTGGTTAATGCGCCTGACACTCGTTTTTGTACTCCCAGTTTCACAAGCAACATGCCCGTCACGAGAAGGTAGTGCGTAAGACTTCCCTGTCAGTGACTATACACGCGTAGCCATATGACAGTATTTGAAGAGGGGAAAGGGACTCTCCACCATCAGCCGTATCAGGGTATTTGTTATGTAATCACCTAACCTGCTTTGATCTACTCTTAAAAATATCTCTTTATTCGTCTAACTTTTCAGAGATTGATTTTCTGCTTAAAGAATCAGCGTTAAAGATAGATAGATTGTTGTGTTTGTTGATGACTCTGATAAAAATAGGTTCTTCTGAATGCCTTAAGTAACATTACAAGATGCCTTTCGTGCGTTTTAGTTAAAAAATGTCACCTCACAACTTGTCTGCATCGTTGTGTAGTGTAGTTAGAGAAATTGAAATGTTGACAAGTTTACTGATCTAGTTAGTCTGATAAACTCTGGTAGGTTTTATCCCTTTTTATGCATTTTAATAATTTCCTTTAAAATGATAACATGACGTTGGAACCTCTTGGGTTGATTTATTGATTTAAAGAGCCTATCAGGGGTCACCAGACTAGGTCATTTGATGACCTGGAAATGACGAATACATATCATTGGTCAAGAACTGACTTCTTCAACGGAGGTGGAATTCATATATAATTAGATGAGTATGTGAACATATTATTCGGCAGCCGAATAGACTTTCTGTTTCAATCTTGCATTCTCACTCAAGTACTCAGTTTAGGGGGTTAGCGGGTATCACGTTCAAATCTGGAACATTACACATCATAACATAATCCCATTGAGGAAAACAACACTGATGAGTCCCGAATAAAACAAAATGCTTGTCTTGAACATTATGCTGTTACCTAAAGTTCAGATTACCATCGATCGTTGAGGAAATTCTTCATTTAGTGAAGTTTTTGCTTAGTGTGTAAATCATCCAACTTTCAACGACTAAGTCATATTTTCATATCGCTCCAAAGATTGATCAGCCAGAGAGTAGTAATTATCCTCACTCACAAACTGACTGGAAACGGAATACATAGATCTATTTTCGAGTGATCAGTTTTACCACTAAATTTTTAACTAAAAAAGTAACCTATGGACGCCACTATTAGCTACTTCGATGTTGTTATGATTCTGAAGAGTCCATTTACGAAATAAAACGCTTTATGTCCGCAAAATTCTCATTATCGGCTTATAGAAATTGTTGAGTTATTTATTGAAATCATGAATCAATCAATATTGGACAACCGTTAGAAACCTGGAAGCACTGAACGGCTGTTTTGTCCGAAGACGGGACTCATCAGCGGTGCGCATCCACGACACCCACTCACGGGGTTTACTTGGTTTACTTCGACATTCCCGTGTTGTTTTGATAAAGAGTTAAACTACTTATATACTATTTCAGTAACTCAATGGATTGATATAAATATTTTAAAATTTCAACTGTTCACTGAATAAACAAATCAAAAATTCAAGCAGCTTTAATTTTGTCTCAAAATCATGATATATCAAGCTTTGAAGTACGCTCCCAGAGGTAATAGATACTTCCTAGAGATATATGCCTTGTATTTGCCAAAGTGAGATTCGTATGATTCAGTTAAACATTTCAAAGTTGACCCAATACTTGAATAGGTTACTCAGCATTGGGACTTGTAGTTTAAAATACGAATATTTGGTTAAAGTTTTTCAAAGAATGAATATAGCATCTGAGGGATTTTTCAGTGTCATGGTTACATATCATGATTAGAACGGATGAGTACTGAACTTTTCAACACTTAAGAAATATAATTTTAACGAAATGTTTTCTTTTCATTAGAAAATAACCTAATCAAAGCATTTATTTGGTACTTTTAGTTATGATTGTAATGAGAACTGAATTAGCTCATCAACTTTTAATGAGATTTTATCGTGGAGAGACTATGAATGACATGACTGAAAATTGTTTGTAATGGCGCAGATGCATCCATTCTTTGTGTTCTCTTAAATCAGAATATGAATTTCTCATGACCTAAATCTTTCTCTTCTCAAATTTATTTCACTGAACTGTAGGTTTTGAATAATATCTTTGAACTCTAATCTTTCTGATTACTGTTCATACGCCTGATACCTCTCTGCTACGATGTGATTTGAATCGACTGACTGAATCAAGCAAAAGTAAAAATAAGCCCAATTCATCAATGATACATACGGTAGTTAGTTAGCACAGTGTGATTAGTTTGTTTTCCTTGTTAGTAATTGGTCGTTTGGTGGTTTACAACATTCTCCAGCGAGCTTCTTCATTATATCGTACAGCTGTCTTACATTTCTTTCGTTTGCAGATTTTTCTGACAGTATTGCTAGGCCTTCTACATATTCTTGCCTAGATTTTCTGATGCTCCTCTCTATTTGCTTACTTTCTGTGCACTTGTTTGGCTAATACTGATTTCTGCATTATTGTTATTCCTTACTTGAATCTTATCCAGAGTAACCAAAGCGATACATCCTTTGTGATGGTGTTCCTTATGGTCTAGAATCTCATGACCTGCTGATGTTAGTGGTCTCTTGTTCCCTTTTCAGTTGGTATCCATGGTAATACCCTCTTCATTAAATAGATTGCGAAAGGCTTGGAACTTATGGTTGAGAGATATATTGAATTCGTTGAGTTTGTCAGTATCCCGAAGAAACGCTGTATTTAGCTTTGTAGATGCTGTTTGACCAGTTTTCCAGTGCTTCTCTAGTTTTAGTTTCATCTTGGCTACTACCAAATGATGATCAGAAGTTATATTAGCTCGTCTCTTGATTCTTGTATCCTCCATCGGCCTTTTGAACTTTTTATTCATGCAAATGTGAACAATTTGGTTCTGCGTAGTGTTGTGATCCAGTGAAAGTTAGAAGTACATGTTAATCACCGAAACCTGATTTCAGATTACATAATATTAATGAATACTTATACTAAGTAGATGATATTGAATTAACTGACTATAGCATAACTGTTATCATTAAGTTGACAAGATGTACATTCATTTCTAGTTTATACTTCACCACTCAGTAATTGAATATAGAAACATACATAGCTGTTAGGGTAACCGAATTGTACTTATCTTAAATTACAGCGTTAATTGGTAAAATAGAAAAACCATATCGTAAATCGTTAATTTGCAAAATATCAATCCATCATATCGAACTGGACTGTTCCTGTTGCAAACATCTCAATCCATTGTCTGACATTTCACTGTTCATGTGTTTCTTACAAATCCCATTGTGTTCCCACTCTTCTTCCTTTCTTGATCTTTCCACATCTTCTGCTGCCAGACATTACGTTTTTACTCGCGTCATATACTACTTATAAGTAGCGCTCACCACAGTACTCTTGAAAAAAAAATCTCAACCAAATAATAATTTGAATTAGAAAACAGATTTCTTTTAAAAAAAAACCCCCAAAAAACATGTTGATACTTTGTAGTGTTAGCTAACAAACATTATGCAGTACGATCTACAAACACAAACCAATAACAGTTGTTGGTTCATTCCAATTTTTCAACATCTTACAAAAATAACAAAACGGAAAAACAATCAAAAATCACTGACTGATGGATGCGCTAAGTAATAAATATCTTCATTTTCCCCTACTTTACATTAGGGAATAAATTGATAACTTTACCATTCATCAAAATAACTTATAAAACACCCTCTTACTTCCCTTTTTTTTTAAAAATCGGTTTCCATTAAATAACAATGATTAACACATTCTT